TATGAAATATAGTCTTTGGGAAAAAAAATCAAGCACCCTCCCTGAAATTAGCAATTAAATCTAAGTTAAAACATGTATTTAAATGCCTCTACCAATCCACCCCTACAATACATTGTAACTGTGCCAGTAAGGTAGCAGTGCTTTAGAAAAGATGAAATAAACATGTTGTGGCAGATACAATTATCTTAACACAGAAGAACACATTGCTATTGTCCAGGTCATATAATCTAGGTCCTAACTAAGTTGCAGAGAAATGGGAAGAAGGAACAAGTTATTACATTTAAGTTAATAGAAATTCTTCATTATTACAACAGCTGCCAGTTTAGTTAAAACTAAATATAGCCAACGAGAAATTATAATACATTTTAATAACGTTTAATTTAACTTAATTATGTTTGGCACGCACACACATGTGCGTGTGCACACACACACACACACACATATATATATAATTGAATTTAATAAAAAAATTTTAATAATGTAATTAGCATTTGATAGAGAACATATATAATTATTCACAACCCACACAAAATGTAACAAACATTATTAAAACCTTATGTACATGCCATTTTATGGCTGAAAAGATGAACTACAACAGAATTTTGCACCTTGGTTGCAACGATATATTGTGTGTGTACACGCATGTATATACATAATGATTGCATATTCAGTGTACACAAATCCCTTTGCAGACCCTAATATTTATACTGAGTACAGTTATTCAAAATCCCAGAGCCTAACACCATCACAATTTTGGATCCAGATGTAGGCCCCAACTGTTAAGGCACTGTAAATGGCAGAGGGGCATTGCTGGCACATGATGGCATATATCACATTGGTGATTGGTGATCATTCACCTGCACATCCACCAATGTGATATATGCCATCATGTGCCAGCAATGCCCCTCTGCCATTTACATTGGTCAAACTGGACAGTCTCTACATAAAAGAATAAATGGACAAATCAGATGTCAAGAATTATAACATTCATAAACCAGTCGGAGAACACTTCAATCTCTCTGGTCACGCAATCACAGACATGAAGGTCGCTATCTTAAAACAAAAAAACTTCAAATCCAGACTCCAGCGAGAAACTGCTGAATTGGAATTCATTTGCAAATTGGATACTATTAATTTAGGCTTAAATAGAGACTGGGAGTGGCTAAGTCATTATGCAAGGTAGCCTATTTCCCCTTGTTTTTTCCTACCCCCCACCACCAGACGTTCTGGTTAAACTTGGATTTAAACTTGGAGAGTGGTCAGTTTGGATGAGCTATTGCCAGCAGGAGAGTGAGTTTGTGTGTGTGTGTGTGTGTGTGTGTGTGTGTGTGTGTGTGTCCCCGGGAAAAAAAGGGAGGGGGTGAGAGAGCCTGGATTTGTGCTGGACATGGCCCACCTTGATTACCATGCACATTGTAGGGAGAGTGGTCACTTTGGATGAGCTATTACCAGCAGGAGAGTGAGTTTGTGTGTGTGGTTTTTGGAGGGGGGTGAGGGGGTGAGAGAACCTGGATTTGTGCAGGAAATGGCCCACCTTGATTATCATGCACATTGTGAAGAGAGGTTTCAGAGTAACAGCCGTGTTAGTCTGTATTCGCAAAAAGAAAAGGAGTACTTGTGGCACCTTAGAGACTAACCAATTTATTAGAGCACGAAAGCACGAAAGCTCATGCTCAAATAAATTGGTTAGTCTCTAAGGTGCCACAAGTACTCCTTTTCTTATTGTGAAGAGAGTTGTCACTTTGGATGGGCTATTACGAGCAGGAGAGTGAGTTTGTGTGTGAGGGGGTGGAGGGTGAGAAAACCTGGATTTGTGCTGGAAATGGCCCAACTTGATGATCACTTTAGATAAGCTATTACCAGCAGGACAGTGGGGTGGGAGGAGGTATTGTTTCATGATCTCTGTGTGTATGTAATGTCTGCTGCAGTTTCCATGGTATTCATCCGATGAAGTGAGCTGTAGCTCACGAAAGCTCATGCTCAAATAAATTGGTTAGTCTCTAAGGTGCCATAAGTACCCCTTTTCTTTTTACACACAATTCACTATCAATTGGCATAGTTATCAGTCAGTGGAGCGGGAGAAGGCATAAAACTAGCAAACTAAGCACAGAACAAGGCACATACTGAGTTCTCTGTGCTGAGAATATGGGCCCAGTTTTGTGCTCACTGACTTCCATATTAGGTTGGAATTTGCAAACTGCCACTCTTCGTTTTACAGAGCAAGATTCAGACTAATGCAAAGACTTAGAATATTGTGTTTCAGTCTCTTGACCTTTCAGGAAATGCAAAAAACATTCAAACCACTTAATCAATATTCCTACAAAAAGAGAATAAATAATTCTCTAACATGCTTTGACACATTGCTTTAATTGAAGGGAAAAGACAGAAAGCTAAAATACAGACTGAGTCTTACAGTTTTGCTTTCTTATCAGATAAAAGATGGTAATGTTTGCTGAGCCCCTTAAGCTTGACTAGTGAAGTAAGTTTACACTACACAACATATCAGGCAGAAAAGTCTGTAAAAAACAGAGAGGATGAATACTCTTACAGAATTCTATCATTTGATGCCAGCATGATTTCCCACTGTGATCCTGAAAACAAAGAGTCAGGGAACATTGGATGGTGGAATGTCTCAACAAGCGATCATGAAATAATTTTTTTTTCTCTAAGTCAAAAGCTCATTCTATTCACACAGCCCTAGGTGATTAGCTGAAAAGATGTTTTGACTACAAGTTAGTCCTCATCAGTGTATGTTTTTCTGGTTGATGATCCTGGAGATAGGCTTCAAGGAAAGCTATGAGAGTTAGAGAGTTTGTCATTCCCTAAGTTTCCCGGATGGCTAGGGATGGGAGGGGTTTATATTGCTCTGCCTTAAGGTGTTCTTAAACTAGGATCTTGGCCTATATGTGCCTAGGGTGACCAGCTGTCCCGATTTTATAGGGACAGTCCCAATATTTGGGGCTTTGTCTTATATAGGTGCCTATTACCCCCCACCCCCATCCCGATTTTTCACCCTTGCTATCTGGTCACCCTATATGTGCCTAGGTATGAAAATTTGTGTTTAGTCACTAGGATTTTGTGGCCAGTCTCTGTTCTGTTTGTCCCACCCAAGTCATGCAATGGGAACAGAATAGGGCCAGAGAATCCAAATCTGTCCTGTGTTCCATGGGGTGCTGGGGGCAGAAGTAGAAAGGAAGGATACTCATGGGAAGTGTGGACATCATGCCCACCAGTGCTCAATATCCTTGAGATGCTGTGCCTGGCTAATTACGTGCTGTGTCCTGGACCCCAGCTCTACAGTGTGTTTGCTTCAGTAGGTGGTACATATTTTGGAAATCTCATGTAGGACTAGAGAGGTTATTTTACATTTTATCTGGCACTGGTGTAACCACTGTGTCTAGTTTTGGTGCCCACAGTTCAATAGGGTTGTCAATAAACTGGAGAGGGTTCAGAGAAGAGCCACAAGAATTATTAAAGGATTAGAAAACCTGCCTTATAGTAATAGATTCGGGGAGCTCTATCTATTGACCTTAACAAAGAGAAGGTTAAGGGGTGACCTGATTACAATCTGTAAGTATCTACATGGGGAATAAATATTTAATAATGGGCTCTTCAATCTAGTCGAGAAAGTCATAACATGAACCAATAGCTGGAAATTGAAGCTAGACAAGTTTAGACAGGAACTAAGGGATATGTTTTTCATGCTGAGAGTAATTAACCACTGGAACAATTTACTAAGGGTTGTGGTGGATTCCCCATCAATGGAAATTTTTAAATCAAGACTGAATGGGTTTTTTTCTAAAAGATCTGCTGTAGGAATTATTCTCGGGGAAGTTCTATGGCCTGGGTTTTATAGGAGGTCAGACTAGGTGATCACAATGGTCCCTTTTGGCTTTGCAGCTCTGAATTTTAGAACATGGTGCCTACTGTTCTATTTTGGAGCAGCACAAGATGCATTCTACCATATATTCCTTGTAGCTTGCCCTGAGTCATCCTGACCTATGCCGGAAGCATGGGTTTGGGGACTACAGTGACACCAGTGCCACTCCACTCCTCCATGTACCCACATTAACTGAGGGCAGGAGGCTGGCCATGTGACTTTGAAAGTTCTGAAAAGTTTTGCTTTTGGAGTCTTGCTCTATAAAGACAGTACAGAATCTTATGCCATATCTCCTCTCCCCATATAGTCTAAGTTTGTCCCAAAGGACACTCAGATACCATAGTGATGGGCGTGATAAAAGTTCACGTATGGATGGATAAAACAAAACAAATAGGTTGATGCATGATCATTGTACCTACACATTATTTTCACGAGATGCAAAGTCTTATAAAGGCCAGACTGCCAAACCCGATGAAGCAATGTAAAGCTATATACAGTAAAAGCTTTTTTATCCAGCATGTTGGGAGAAGGGGGGGGAGGGGGGAGGTTTTGCCGGTAAGTCAAAAATTGCAGTTAACGAAGTGTTACATAGGCACTCACTCCGTGGGTGCTCTGGGGCTGAGCATCCACCGGCAGCCCCTCTATTAGCTCCCTCACCCACCCCTCCCAGTGCCTCCCACCTGCTGGCAGGCTCTGCAGATCAGCACGCTCCCCCCGCCGGCACACCTCCTGCCCGCCGCGATCAGCTGCTTCATGGGATTCAGGAGGCTCTGAGGGGGAGGGGCGAGGAGCGAAGACGCAGCACACTTGGGAGCGGGAAGAGATGGGGGCAGTGGAATTGGGGTGGGAAGATGCGAGGTGGGGTGGGGACTTGGAGGAGGGGTAGAGTGGGAGGGGGGCCTCAGGCAGAGCTCGGGGTTGAGCACCCCCCAGCACTTTGGAAAATCGGCACCTGTGAAGAGTTATACTTACCAATGGAGGGAGGGAGTTTGGGTGTGGGAGGGGGCTCAGGGCTGGGGATGAGGCGTGGGAGTGGTTGCAGGGTGTGGTCTCTGGGAGGGCATTTGGGTGTGGGAGAGGGCTCAGGGTTGGGGCATGGGAAGGGTTTTGCTGTGCCGGATCTGGACAGCGTTCACCTTGGGCAGCTCCCTGCAAGCGGCGAAGCCAGGGCTTGGGGTGAGGCGGGGGCAGCTCACAGAGCCCCCAAGGGCCGTTCCTCCACCTAGGAGCAGCTGGGACATGTCGCCACTTCCAGGGAGCCATGCGGAACCAGGTAGGGAGAGCCTGCCAGTCCTGCACCAACCTGACTTTTAACGGATATCAGAAATGCTGTTTTCTAGAAGTTTCTGGTTGGTAAAGTGCTGGATAATACTGCTTTTACTGTAGTTTATTTCACCTTCCCTGTCTTGTGCTTAACTGCAGAAGTTAAATTTTGTGCCAGGCTGCCTGAGGTTCACATATTCACATATCAATTATGGCTATAAAACTATATTCCTTTTAGTTATGCAAAAGGTGCATATAGCTAGATTTATTTATAGCTGTTCTTCCCCCCCCCCCCCGCCCAGCTTTATGGCCTTAAAGAACCAATATCATTTTGGGAACTGAAAGATTTTTAAAAAGCCCTTGGACCTTGGAGGTGACAGGGCACAGTGCACCACTGCTACACCAGTTCTCATTTGGCATGTGACCCCAAAGAGACCATAGCTACTTAGTGTAAATTAGAACAGCCTCTCCTAAGCTGCTCTAACACAAAGATGGGACAGAAATGATGCTCGTGCACCATGAATGTCAGGGAGGTGTAGCTTGCTCCTAGATGTCTCCCCCTCCCTATCCTGTGCCACGTGTATCCTGGTGCAGGAGAGAATTTAGACTAAAGAGAGATTTACCACTGATTTCAAAGGAAGCAGGAGCAGACCCAATGGCTTCATGAAATAATTGTTAAAATGAACTAAATGCTATTAGCTGTTCCCAGCAAAGAAGGCACTTAGCAGAATTGTCTGCTGCAGTGTGACAACGGCCTGAGAAACTAACAGGAAAATTTAAGGTGCCAGCCCTGATTTATAGACATCGGTGCTCTTCCTCCCAGCCTGTGGTACGGCACAGTTGTTACACTGAAAAGGTTATTGATTAGATTAGTTACTCAGACTGTAAGCTCCTCAGGGCAGGGACTGCCTTTTTGTTTTTTCTGAGTGCAGCGCTTAGCACCATCTCTCATTGGGATCCCCCGGCTCTCCCACAACACAAATAATAGTAACAATGAATACTGAAAAGGTAACAAAGAAATAGGACTGTGTGATCAGCTGGTCTGCTTTCACATCAGAAAAGCCTGTCTAGCAATAAGCAATTTAGCACAAAGCTGCTCTGATTCTGAATATTTGAGTCAAATCAATTTTTCCTCTCATGGTATCTGCTCATTTTAGATTTATACTAGAGTGTATGAGATATACCATGCGCTCATCTGCCACAGTGGTGAGCACCATAGAAATGCCTACAACTATATAACTTGCCTTTCCTAGCTGAAAAAAATAAACTTTCTAGCTTCTGCTTTCCATAAACTATTTTTAATTGAACTTCCATTTTTCTGATCCAGAGCAACAGTTTCCTGCATGTCTTGGTTTTGCCAAAGTAAGAAAAAACTCAGCAGAATATTTGGATTACATAATCTTTCAAATGAGAGTTCAGAAACAATATGTGCTTGAAAGCTGACATGTAATCATCTTGAGGAAGATGAAGGAAAATGTTGCTTTTCTTCCTAGGGCACCTTCAGCAATTTACTTAACCACATGCCCGACTGTAAACAAGTGAGTAATGCTGCTGATTTCCATGAGACTACTCATGTATTTACAGTTAGGCATGTGCTTAAATGCCTTGCTGAATTGGGGCCCTAATTCCTCAGGGAGGAATTCCAAGGTGTGTGTGTGCACAGCTGTAATGTAGTGCAACATTAGACCCACAATATTCCTTTGTGGCGTAATTAAGCTGATACTGAACTGCAATAGTAACTGCAATATCGAAATGAATGCCCTCAAGTGGTGAAGAGGGAATTGAATTGACCCTGCTTATTATCAATAATTATTCCAAAATCACATCCACAGCATAGATCAGTTGTTTAGTTTGTTAATAATCTCACCTAAAATACTATTATGTGACATTAGCCAGGACCGTTGTCTCCATTCTTACACTTTATCACAAACCCTAACGCACAGCTGAGATCAGACTCACAGTCTAAAATGTAGGAAATAGTAATTATCAATCACATGAGAGCTCTCAAGAACTACCCAGAACTCTCATGAACAACCTTCCATCTCCAAAGGTCATCTAATTGTTGGATGAATTTTTATTCAGGGCAATTTTTATGAACAGCAGCACCATGCTGTGGCCAGATGAGAGAATCACAGGCATTATTTTTCCTGACTGATAAGCATAGTGCAGTATCCTCCATATCAGCTTTCTAATTTAAAAACATCATGGAGAATTCAGCACACATCAGATAGAAGCTTGCTTTCAGCATAAGAAGATTTGGTTATCTAATAAAGGGTCATTGTAAGGGGCAAAAATTGTTCTGAATTTAGAAAAATAGGGTGATTTTTGCAAGAGCTATTGTAGACATAGTGCTGATGGGATGATGTGCTAGGCTGTGGAACTGGGTAACTCCCCTTGCTTAATTTTGGTTGCTGTTAGCTACCTAGATATGAGGGTGATGGGTACTGCATAAATGTAATCCGTTCCAATCCAAACAAGTCCTTGAGCCAAATTCTACGCCAACTGCGTCACTGTGCAACCCCATTGATTTCAGTGGATTTTCATGGAGTGAGAGGGCTTGATGTTGCAAGCTGTTGAGAACCCCAGGAGGCAGTGAGTAACCCTTAACTCCCATTGAAACATTGTGCCCAAAGTGAGGGCAGAATTTGACCCATGGACTCTTTCATTGTCCATTGTGTGCTGGATTCTGGATCTGAATTATAATGACATGTATCAATGCTCCTCTCAATGGTACTGTACTGTATTCAGAGGGTGATCAACAGGCCATGAATTAATTAGAATGGGGACAACAGACTATGAGGATGTAAACACAGCTGCTCATTTCTGGCTTATGGGATATGAATGTGATCAGTGACTGAACAAATTGACAGGCCAATGCACTGCTTTGTTGGGTTTTTTTGCATTCTTAATTTGACTTGACAGCAAATCATCTGGCGCATTATTCATCAATATAATCTGATTGCCTGGAAGCTGGAAATCAAGTCCAAGGACTGATTCCTGCCCAGCATGTTTTCGCTTTGAGGGGCCAGAGTTGAAACATCTGGAAGTCTTGTACAAGAGTCTCTAAAAATGAAACACAAGAGCACATTTTTCCAGCCCAGGATGCAACAGCGCCAGCCAACGTTCTAAGAACGTTCGCCTCCGTGAGCATTGACATTAATGTACCTAACCCACCCAACTGCCCTCTGGCACTCCCAGCTCGCTTTCTCACTAGCTTAATTGCTTCATCACAGCACATGTTCTATCTTTCATGGAGATACAGTGGCCTCACTTAAACTCTTCCTAATTCTCTTAGATAAGCAAATAACACTGCCTCGGCATTTGCGGCACTAGCATAATTCCCTACTAAGTCTTATATCTAAAGTATATACTGTAAATACTGTCTTATATCTAAAGTGTATACTGTAAATTACTGAGGTAAAACCATTTTTCTAAGGAAAAATCTTTTAAAGACTTTAAAGATTTTTTTTTTTAAAAGGGAATCCCCACAGAATGGCTGTACTATGGGAATGGCGTTACACCCATGATCACTCATCAGCAACTGATACTATAATGTCACCTCTGGAAATATTGCTTCTATACAAGAGTGCTTTCTGGACTCACATTATTCAATGTTGTGCCACAGGGTGGGAGTGTGATTTAGGGGTTAGTGCAGGTGACTAGGCACCAGAGGGCTGAGTTCTATTTTAAACTCTACCACTGACATTCTGTGTGTATCTGGTGCAAATTACTGGGGTCCAGACTTCAGTGGGAGGTAGGTGCCTAAATACCTTTGAGTATCTGAGCCTAAACACCTCCAAATTCCACTGACTGCCACAGTATAACTGTCTGCATTATATGCATAATACTTAAATGTGCCACCCTCATTAAGGTATTGTGAGGTTTAATTTTGAAATCTGACGGTGACTGATATTGTTGAAGTACAAAATGCTAGTATCAGAGGAATTGTTTTGATGTAAGTTCGGACGTCAAACTGCTTCACTTATCTGATTGTTCCAGAACATTGCTTTCACTCTTCAGTCACTGTCCTCAGCCCAGGTATCAAGACAGTGACCTTTTAGATGTACACTTAGAAATTTTAATCATTCTCTTCAAAGACTATGTGTCCAGTGCACTAAATAGTAAAATATAATAGCAAATATCCTATTACATAAACAGAACTGTTAAATGAATTGTTTAAGCTAAAGAAGAACAAACAAAAGTTGGGAAAGATACCAAAAGTTGCTCAGATCTAGTGAACAGCAATGCAGTTTTTGGAGAAAATGAATGATTGCAACTTTCTTCAATAATGCATATATACAGAATAATATTATGAACTATGAAGTACAACGATTTAGTAACAGAAGAATTTCTCATGCAAAGGCTGATTTTTCTCTTCTTGCCAGGTTTGTTTCCAGTAGCTTTTTACCCCATCAATTTAAATGATTACTGACAGTTAGGAAGTTTTTTCCTAATGTCCCACCAAAACTGCCTTTGCTGCAATTTTTAAGCTCATTGCTTTTTGTCCTATGCCCAGTGGCTAAGGAGAACAATTTTTCTCCCTCCTCCTTGTAATAACCTTTTATATACTTGAAAACTGTTATCATGTCCCCTCTCAGTCTTCTCTTCTCCAGACTAAACAAATCCATTTTTTCTCAATCTTCCCTCTTACGTCATGTTTTCTAGACCTTTAATAATTTTTGTTGCTCTTCTCTGGACTTTCTCCAATTTGTCCACATCCTTCCTGAAATGTGGCACCCACCACTGGACACAATACTTCAGTTGAGGCCTAATCAGCACGGAGTAGAGCGGAAGAATTACTTCTCGTGTCTTGCTTACAACACTCCTGCTAATACATTACAGAATGATGTTTGCTTTTTTTGCAATGGTGTCCATCGACTCATATTTACTGTGTGATCCACTATGACCCCCCAGATCCCTTTCCACAGTACTCCTTCCTAGACAGTCATTTCCCATTTTCTATGTGTGCAACTGACTGTTCCTTCCTAAGTGGAGGGATTTGCATTTGTCCTTATTGAATTTCATCCTATTTACTTTAGAACATTTCTCCAGTTTGGCCAGACCTTTATCTAAATCATTGACGAAGATATTGAACAGAACTGGACCCAGAACTGATCCCTGTAGGACCACACTCATTATGCCCTTCCAGTTTGACTGTGAGCCATTGATAACTATTCTCTGGGAACAGTTTTCCAACCAATCATGCACCCACCATATAGGAGCTCCATTTAGGTTGTATTTCCCTAGTTAGTTTATGAGAAGGCCATGTGAGACAATATCAAAAGCCTTATTAAAGTCAAGTTATATACCACATCTACCTCTTTGCCCCTATCTACAAGGTTTTGTTATCCTATCAAAGAAAGCTATTTGGTTGGTTTGGCATGATTTGTTCTCGACAAATCCATGCTGATGGTTATTTATCAACTTATTGTTTTCTAGATGTTTGCAAATTGATTGCTTAATTATTTTCTCCATTATCTTTCGGGGTACTGAAGTTACGGTGACTTTTCTGTAATTCCCCAGGTTGTCCTTATGTTTATGGGTTATAACTGTATGTGAAATACTAACTTTTTTACACCTAAGTTAAATCAGGCTGTTCATTCTATGCAATTCAAATAATGTTAAGGACATTAAAAGGTAATTTCTGTTGCCCTTTCAGCTCAAAACTCACATTCTCAAACTTCAGTGGTCAACATTTTGTGTGTGCGTGTTGTGTGCATCTTAGCTTAAGGGACAAAAAGATGAGTTTGTGTTGATACAGTTTCACTTATAGGAAAAAGTACATACCTGCAGGGATAACCATATTTAACAAGGAAAATGACATCAAACATTGTTAATCACTCAAAACAAAGTACCACAATTAATTTGTTCAAACAGAAGATCAGTAACCTCCTGTGAAGCACTGGGCTCAAGTGCTATTAGACTGAATCTAGATGGACTGGGTTAAAAAGTACAACAAGATTATTGCCATATCCAGGTCCCAGTAAGCACTGTCTGAAATTATGCCTGAATTGCAATATAAAACTGAACCATGTAAATCTTGGGATATCCAGTGATTGTATTTTTCTTTCCACTGGTATGGCTCATTTGCGCTGCTGCCTCTATGTCTTCCTACTTACTTCAAGTACATATAGTCTAGAAGTCTGAGCACAGGACTATGTGCTATATACACCTGAATTTTAATCCTAATCCTGATTTTTGTAACCTCCCTGTATCTCTGTTTTTCTAACTGTACAAAGGATGTAATGATGATTATCTACCTGACAGAGGTATTGTGAAGATCAGTCAGTTAATGATTGCACAACACCATGCAAGTGGTAATTGTTTTGAAGCTGCAGTAAAGTGTGCTACTACTCCTTGTTTGGTGGGACCTTTTGCCTTGTTTATTATTATTATTTAACACTCAAAAAGCTCAGTCTCCTGCAATGAAAGTCTGTCTTCCTGTCCTAGCTAGTGATGATAAGGCAAAAGAGCTACTTGCTAAACATGCCTGAAAACACAAGAGGGTGCATAGGTGAGAAAGTCACGGGAATTAATGATGGCTAGATGGTGGGAATGTTACATTTGTGAATCAGTTTAAAGAATCTGATGTACTCCAACTGACTATGTGTTTGCTGCAACCAAAATACAACTCCTCCATTATATTATTATGAGTAAAACATAATTAAAAAGTTTACAGAGAGGACACGCATGTAACACTTTCATTTATTAGGATACCTAGTCCTCTCCATTTTGCATGGGTTGTTTTTTAAACTATGGTATATTTATCACTCAGATAAAAAAATGGACTTTGCTTCAGCTCCTTTTGCTTTGGTTGTCCACAAATATCCTAGCAAATGTGCTCGCTGGCAGGGATGTTCACTGAAATAGGTTAATTTGAAGCAAATATTAGAGAATACGTGTGCTCAGCCAATTTCAAACTTGTGCTGGAAAGCTGATTTCCAAGAGTTATGCTGACTGGGTGAGGAATCAGAATCCCATCACATCTCACCAATGCGGCTTCAGTGACTTGCCCACACAAGGAAATCTGTGGTGGACCGCACATTGAACCCTGGCTTCCTGAGCCTCGGTTCAGTGGCTCAGCATAAGATCAGCCACCTCTCATTTTACATGACATTTTTGATTAAAAAATTAGAATGATGTAAAATGGATTAAAAACTGGCTGACTGATAATTCTCAAAATGTAACTGTAAACAGAGAATCATCACTGACTGGGTCTGTTTCCAATAAGGTCCCGCAGGGACTGGTTCTTGACCCTACACTATTTAACATCTTTATTAATGACCTGGAAGAAAACCATCACTGATCACTGAAGTTTCCAGATAACACAAAAATCGGGGAAGTGGTAAATAATAAAGGGTCACAGATTCAGAGTGATCTAGATCACTTTGAAAACTGGACACAAGCAAACAATACACATTTTAACTTTTAAATCAAATAAAAGGCTACAAGATTTAATGCAATCTTGGGATACATAAACAGGGGAATCTCGAGTAGGAGTAGTGAGAATATTTTACCTCTGTGTTTGGCACTGGTGAGACCACTGCTGGAATACTGTGTTCAGTTCTGGTGCCTACAAGAAGGTTGCTAAATTGGAGAGGGTTCAGAGAAGAGCCACAAGAATGATTAAAAGTTTAGAAAACATGCCTTGTAGTGACAGAATCGGGGAGCTCAATCTATTTAGCTTAACGAAGAGAACGTTAAGGTGACTTCATTACAGCGGATAAGTACTTACCCTTGGAAAAAATATTTAATAATGGGTTCTGCAGTCTAGCATAGAAAGGTATAACACAATCCAATGGCTGGAAGTTAGAGCTAGACAAATTCAGCCTGGAAATAAGGTGTAATTTTAATGCTGAACGTAGTTAATCATTGGAACAATTTACCAGCGGTCATGGTGGATCACCGTCAATTTTAAAATCAATATTGGATGTTTTTCTAAAAGAGATCATCTAGGAATTATTTTGGGGGAAGTTCTATGTCCTGTGCTATACAGGAGGTCAGACTAGATGATCACAACGGTCCCTTCTGGTCTTAGAATCTATGAACTCATGCAACTTAGATGTATAACATTTTTCAAGACAGCTCTTTTTTCCCTCCAGGAAGAGCAGAGCAGAGCTGAATGTGTTTATGAGCAAGGATGGTCATGCATGGCAGCAGGAACTCTGAGGTCATTCTTTCCCTGTCCTAAACAAGAGATGACTGGTGCCAAAATTGCTTGCTGGAGAACATAGAATACCATGCTCCTCAACCACATCAAAGGTGACTGGAACCATAGATTTATTGGTGGCATCTTTCATGGACTAAAAGATGAAATGAAGACAATAGGTCAGCATGAAGACAATAGGTCAGCTTTTGAGGATCATAGACGCTTCATCATGTCCTGGCAAAGCAGACCTGGTAATGAAAGCAAAACTGGCAGCATGTTTGCTAAGATGGTATTTTTTAGACAAATACAAAAGATCAGCTACCTAAACAGGATTTGGCAACTGTTTTGTCTTGTGTGTTATTTCATCTGCCAAGGAGAACTGGGCTATTGATCATGCCAAATGGACCATCTTCATATGTATCCATGGTCTGTGCTAAAATTAAAAGGTAAGAGAAGACCGTAACAGCACATAATATTTTACATGTATATAATGCCTTTTGTCCAAGAATCAAAAAACACTTGACTCCTCAAAGCATTGTTTAATAGATGCGGAAAAGGAGCTTGAGATGTCAAGTGACATGCCCAAGGTCATGTAGGGTGTCAGTGACAAAGTCACAAATATGCCTGCCTGTCCTGTGTTCTAACCACTGAGCTGTAGTCTCTTTATTAGACTACTCTTCTGTCATAGACTGACTGGGCCTTTAAGGGGAACTCGTCCACTGTCCTGTGTGATTGCTCCAGGAGGGGCATGGTAGGGAATTCTAGGCTGAGAAAGGGGTTAATGAGTTAACAGGCAAGTGGGGGCTCTATTACTGTCACCTAGGTGCACCTGGACAGGGTGTGCCAGGCTCAGGGAGGACTTAAAGGAAGGCGTTCAGGGCAGTTAGGAGGGAGACTGTAGGTGAGAGAGAGGTATCAGGAACCAGGAAGAAGTTGCGGTAAGGAGGGTTAGCTTTTTGTTTCCCCAGCAGGAGGGGAGACTCGAGGGAGGCAGCCCTGGGAGTTATTGTTCTGAAAAAAGGTGGCAAACTTGAGGAGGAAGTGAAAGAGGGTTGGAAAGTTCAGGCCCATGAGGGCCAGGAGTTGTATCTTTGTTTGGTTAGGAGGTGGTTTGTCAAGGAGTTTTGCCAAGGGGAAATGCTGTGCGTCACTGCTTTGGGCAGTGATCTAACTTAAATATTATTTGACCCCCATTACATAGTGTCCGAGTACCCCATCATCTCTATCCCCACAACATCCCTTTGAGGTAGCAGGTAAAGTACTATCCCCATTTCACAAATGAAGGACAGAAAGGTTTAGCCAAACTGGTGGGAAAGCAGAGAATTGAACGCTAGTTTTCTGAGACCCAGGCAAGCACCCTAACCAGTGACCCATCTTTCCACTAGCCCAGAGTCATTGATGATATGCCTTATGAATATTGAGCACTATGATGTATTTGGACCTCCACTTCCATGTGTATGAAATGTCTGTAACAGTGCAATGTACAGGCTTTAGTTTCTTAAAGGACAACTTTATTATTAATGTTAGGCCCCTTTTTAAAGGGAATTTTCTGCAGGCTGAGTCCCTTCCGCCCCCAAACTGATGCAGATTTTTCAACATGATACAGCTGAGAGGTCCCCATAAGGGCCCACTTCAAATGCTCCTACCCTACTTTAGAGGGGCAGTTCCTATTTCCTTGATTATAAATAGCAAAGATACAAACAATAAATATTCAAAAAACATTCCAAGTTGCTATTAAACATAAGAAATATAAACCCACTTCTGTCCCAGGGTGAGCAAATCTATGCAAGTTACCATATAAGTGATTGTAGCTTAGTGAAACTGATGATTTGCTTAAACCAAAGGTGGTGCATATTTTAAGCTTAAACTCAGTGAGGAGGCCAAATTGCTTCCAGACTCAGATGGATAACTTTGCCATTAATGCAACTCGTACGATCAAAGCAGAATGAGTAGTTTAGCAGCCATTTCTTTGCTCTGCAGTGGACAATGTGCCTTTTATTGTGTTATCTGGTTTTGGTTATTTTGTGTAATCAGTAGCACCACAACCACAGCGCTCTCAAAATACCAGAATTTCATATTCTATAAAGCAGGGCAATGGAGCTGCCTGAAAAACAGATATCCCGCAATAAGCCACTAGATGGAAGCCCTGTCCCATCATGCACAGTTCATAACCAAGGGGACACAGAAGCCAGTCAAGCCTATCTTACTGGGTAAGAAACATTTTTTGTGGACTGTGGGTCTCATCCAAAACCCATTCAGGTTAATAGGAGTCTTCATTGGCACCACTGGGTTTTGGATTAGACCTTGTATTGAGAAACTCTGTGGGCACTGATTTTGTTTTGATTTCTAATTTGAAAGATAATTGCTGGCTTCAGCTTCAAATTTCTGCATGTCTGTTAAATCCCTCAATTATTAGTGAAGCAAAGCACCTTCGATTCTAGAGGAAGTCCTTCAGATGAAGCATAATTTAGAGGATAGTTTTCAGCATAGAAAATGAAAATTAAACTCCTTTAAAATGTTTGTGGCACAGTTGCCAACTTTCATGCGTTAAATAAGCACTCTGACTTTCACAATAAGATAAAAATCAAGCTAATCCCATTTTAAAACAAGGCCAGAACAAGCCAATCCCTAAGACCCCCATCACTCTATGTGACTAGATCCTCTTGGTGTGCAGTCTGGGACTGTGGTGGGCCCACTGTGCACCCCTGACTCTCTCCCCCCTTTACCTCTGCTTGCCAGGAGCCGATCAAAAAAAAAGAAGCAGCAACAAGCTACAAGCCCAACAAGCTACAAGCCAAAAACTAGCCAACAAGCAACTCACAAGCCAATTAAGCCAAAACCAAGCCCAATTTCTGTTTTTTTCCCCCATGGGTTTGGCATGTCTGGTTTGTGTTTGTTTTTTCTTGTGAGTTGCTCAGGAACTCCTACTATTTCTATTACAGCCAATACTAGTGGCCCCACCCGAGACTGGATCTCCATTGTGCTCAGTGCTGCATGTAGACAGGAAGAGACAGTTCCAGTCACTAAAATGGAGCTACCATCAGTGTCACTCTTCCCAGCATTCCAGTCTATTGGCATGTTTTTGTACCAAAATGGTTCTATGAAGAGCCAGGTATGTCAATATGCTTAATACCCAGGAGTGTTACAATTAAATTAGTCCATTTTTGTTTACTATCAGCTCTCCTTTAATGCAATAAGGAAGTCTAAAGGCAACATGCTTCTATTTCTGCCAATTGTCTTGAATTTCCTGGTCGTCATTAATTACCCCAGAGTGATGCCTGGCACGTTCTGGAATTACGTTATTCTTCTTGGCCCCGGTCCTGCAACAGTGAGAGAAGCCTGAGCAACTGGGCTTTGGTCATATGCAAAAGGGTTAAAGCTCAGCAGGGCTCTGGGTAGGAATCCTTTGTCCCAGCTGGTGCTTTAATGCCAGTGCTCCTGGGTAGATGGATTAACACCATTACTGCTGGTTCTTGGGAGCAGCAACAGAGACACAAACAGACATGAGGGTTCACCATGTGACTCCATGTTCTCGCAACGGTGTCCTCTGCTCAGCATGACCTTGCACGCACAGTCTGTGAGAGATCACATGGGCAGAGGCATTCCAGTAGTACTACAGCACAAAACTATATATTTAAATAATAAACTAACCTAATAGAATAATAACAACATGAAACTTATGTATAAAAAGGAAAGTGGTCCATGAAATGTAGTGAGATGCAGCTCAGGGTCTCAGCACCTTTTAGGTGCATATCTAGATCCCAAATGAAGAAGAGGGCTTTGTACAGTTTGCTAGTAATTTGCCCACTGCTTCAACTTGTATTTGTGTAGCTGAAACTGCATACAACTGTGTGAAACTGAGGCACAAAATCACTTGCAAAACAATACAGCAGAAACATGCTCTGCTTGAACCTCTGCTGGTCTCATTAACTTCCACAGACTGTAAGAGTGACATCTTGTAGCATAAGTTGCTAAAACCAGAACATATAGAGCCAGACTCTGAAATCAGTGCAATTATCCCAGATGTGTGTTGGTATAATTAAGAGTAGAATTTGGCCCACAAACTATTAAGCAATAAACAGTGGTTACTACTAAAGGCAAATTTAATTTTGCATCTAATTTCTGCAGGCTCTGGGGAAATCATTAAACAACTGAGTCAGCTCTGGCATTTTGTTAGTCACGTGGAATTAACTTCCATGTGAATGGGTTAAATAGCCTCATCTATGTTGAAGCTGAGCTCAGCACAGCTGTTGGGATGGGGGATGCAAAGGCTGATCTTATGCCAGTGAAATTAAATTAAATGGGGCAATTTCTGCCCTCAGTTACACCTGTGCAATCATCAGTGAGATCAACTGGTTGCAGACTTCAATCTAATTTAGTATGAATAATGAGGGTCATATGCTCAGACCTCACTTATACTTTTTTATATAAAGAATGCATTGATTTACTTAACAACCATACCCTGTATTGATATCATACAAGATTTAGCCTGCCTCGGGACTGAATGTTTTCAAAATATTATAACATGTATGTCTGCAATATATGCCAATTTATTCTTGTCCCACGATACAGCATGATTTATAAAACAGAGGACTACTTAGCTGGTTATTAATCAGATGAGTGTGGTGGAATCAATGTAATCCCTAGTGGATATTTTTGACATAGAACCAACACTATTGCTAATACAATTGGCACTCGGTTCAGGTTTAAACTGAGACAGCGGGTGTGCTGGAAATTAGGATTCAATCTCATCGTGAACTTCTTTAGAAGAATATTTGTCTGATCAGTCTATAAACTAATGTTCATTTGTATTAAGTTATACAATTGGTCTTTTAATCTCTAGCTGAAGTACAGCCTACCTGCTAATCACTGGTGCAGTAATACTGTGTCACATTCTTGGTACTGATAATTCCCAGACATTTGGATAATAAAGTGCACCATACCTACATCTGTCCTGATTTGTGCTTGCTATCTCCATGAGAATATAGAATGTCAACAAAGTTGGCATGTTACATATGTACAATAAACCTCCTTTCTTGTCCACAGCTTTCTGAGGTTCCTAGTTAGATAATGTTTAACTGCCAGTAAGCAGAGAATGGAGGAAAGCTTTACCTATTGTTGAAGCCAAGTTCTTTACTGACCTCTGCATCCTTAAGGATATGTCTAGCCTTGAGAGCTATTCATGCAAACAGACTAAATCATGTTTTTTCTGTCCCATTAGTAGTGATAGGAGATTGACAATGGACAAATGTGAGCTCCATGCCAAGCACATTATGTACAAATAACCACAGCTTAAAGATCATCTGCTCCTGCAGCTTGCTCATCACAGTGCAAAGAACAGCAAAGCAAGTGAGTAGAAAAAGAACCTGGTAAAGCCAAGCAGAAAATGAAACATGATTGATGCACTACTGCAATAATTTTACTGCACAGCCATTTCACTATGATGGTTTGGGAAAGTAGGAGGGGTCAGGGAATATAATGAATGATGGGACTCTCACCATGCTAGGCATATTGGCCCAGAGCCACAAAAGTACTTGAAACCCAAAAACTCAGTGAGGAGGGCAGGGCGAGGGCCTGGGTATCCCATAGAGCTAGCTTTAACATTTATTTTATTCAGCAGTAATGCAAGGAACCTACAGGCCTGTATCCTGTAAGACATTGGCTTCAGCAGTTAGCACAAGGCTTGAGGCCTATGAACTTTGGCATAGATAAATGGCCCAACAGTCATCCCTGAGTTTTGGGGAACTGGGGATAGAGTGTTTAAGGGAGAAGTTTGTACGCAATGACACCAGGCAACCACAGGAATATGAGCTAACACCAACTTTTGGATATTTTAGGATAGGAACATCTGCAGGTATCTGACCAGCAGAGTGCCATGGTAACCAACTGACATAATGATAATAAGTTGAGATCATTAATATACTAACCTATAGGAGAAGGATACTCAATATAAGTAGTGTGAGGAAATACAAATAAGGAAAAATCTCTACTGTACATGCATTAGGCATCATGTCATCAGCATAACATATTGTAAAAGTTACCAGCAGCAGAGTGGGGGGGGGGAGAGAAAACCTTTTGTAGTGATAAACACCCATTTTTTCATGGTTTATGTGTATAAAAACATCTTCTGTATTTTCCACAGTATGCATCTGATGAAGTGAGCTGTAGCTCACGAAAGCATATGCTCAAATAAATTGGTTAGTCGCTAAGGTGCCACAAGTACTCCTTTTCTTTTTGCGAATATAGACTAACACGGCTGTTACTCTGAAACCTGTCATATTGTAAAAGTTGTATCCCAGCCTGTGTGCTGGAGGAGAGAGAGATGTAGCTCTTGGGAGGTGTCAGGATGATGGCTACTGGAGATGTAGAGGAAGGTGATAGTGATGAGGAAGATCATGGCTAACATTTCAGGTTGTTCTGCAAGAGATGGTGGGAGTACATGGATGTTCAGATATGTTCTGTATTCTCTCTCTCTATCTTTCTGGGTTAGAGTGTTTGTAACTTTGCTAAATGTATTAATAAAACTATTACAGATGCAGAAGGGTTCCTAAAGTGTGAGTGTTGTAATTGTGCACATTGGGGTTCCCACATGAACAGTCATTTTAATAATACTTGGCCTGATCTTGGTACCTGTCAAACCTCAGAGTGATGACAGGGAATTCTTAAGTAATCAGTAGAACTAATACAAAATCCATAGTTTAGGCAACAAGCCACACCCCTCTCATTGGCATCTTCTACTGACTAGCTCCTGGCCTAACATACTAGCTTTTGTGGATCTCATTCTCAGATGCATACCTCTGCCCATTCACTGTATAGGGACCCTTGGTGCCTAATGTAGGTTCTGTGGATCCCATTGCTGTTCCAGTGATTTTTTTTTTTCTAGGTGCCTAAAAGTTAGGTGTTGCAATGTGTAAGTCCCTGTGTGGATCAGACCACTTCTGCAATTTCAGTAGAGAAGCCAAGAGCAGGAATGTGCATGGATATTGTGACTTTCCTCCAACCCACATTGGTCCCTATGGAGCAAGGTAAAGATGTAATTGTGGAGGGAGCAATATTGTGTCACTTTCACATCACATATATCTTGTATACCAAGGAGCTGGAGACAGTGAACTATGTACTTAATGGAGCCCACCATTTTCAGTAGATATTTGGCGGAGATCACAGTCCTGTTCTTACCAGACTGGCTGCTTGCAGATTTGGCCAGTGTTCTTTCAGTGTTGTAGCCAACCCCCTGTATCAAGCAACACTTCAATAGCATGACGCTGAACTCCGTGCATCACTTTTCAATGGAACCTTTTGCAGATATGGGCTTTTGCACTGATTTCCATGAAAAGACAGTTAGAGGGGCTATAGCACACTTTTCTCCTTGTAAACAACAACCTTGTTTGTCTTTTAACAAAAGCAGAGGACTCCAGAAATAGAGTGTGATGCATGCTATAAAATTAGGGCTGTCAATTAATTGCAGTTAACTCATGCGACTAATTAAAAAAAGGTAATCACAATTAATCATACTTATAACAATGGAATACCACCTGAAATTTATTAAATATTTTTGGATGTTTTTCTACATTTTCTATATTGATTTCAATTACAACACAGAATACAAAGTACACAGTGCTCACTTTATATTATTAGTTTTGATTACAAATATATGCACTGTAAAAATGATAAACAAAAGAAATAGTATTTTTCAATTCATCTTGTACAAGTATTGAAGTGCAATCTCTTTATCGTGAAAGTGTAACTTACAAATGCAGATTTTTTTTGGTTACATAACTGCACTCAAAGACAAAACAGTGTAAAACTTTAGAGACTACAAGTCCACTCAGTCCTACTTCTTATTCTGCAAATCGCTAAGACAAACAAGTTTGACAGGAGATACTGCTGCCTGCTTCTTATTTACAATGTCACCTGAAAGTGAAAACAGGCATTTGCATGGCACTTTTGTAGCTGGCATTGCAAGGTATTTACAGCCAGATATGCAAAACATTAGTATGCCCCTTCATGCTTCGGCCACCATTTCAGAGGACATGCTTCCATGCTGATAGTGCTCGTTAAAAAATGAGTTAATTACATTTGTGACTGAACTCCTTTGGGGGAGAATTGTATGTTTCCTGCTCTATTTTACCTGCATTCTGCATATATTTCATGTTTTAGCAGTCTTGGATGATGACCCAGCACATGTTTGTTTTAAGAACACTTTCACAGCAGATTTGACAAAATGCAAAGAAGGTACCGATGTGAGATTTCTAAAAATAGCTACAGCACTCGACCCAAGGTTTAAGAATCTGAAGTGCCTTCCAACATCTGAGAGGGATGAAGTGTGGAGCATGCTTTTAGCTGTCTTAAAAGAGCAACACTCTGATGCGGAAACTACCCAAACCCAAACCACCAAAAAAGAAAATCAATCTTCTAGTGGTGGCATCTGACTCGGATGATGAAAATGAACATGCATCAGTCCATACTGCTTTGGATTGTTATCAAGCAGACCCCATCATCAGCATGGAAGCATATCCTCTGTAATGGTGGTTGAAGCATGAAGGGACATATGAATCTTTAGCTCATCTGGCAAGTAAATATCTTGCAATGCTAGCTATAAGAGTGCCATGCAAACGCCTGTACTCACTTTCAGGTGACATTGTAAACAAGAAGCAGGTAGCATTAGCTCCTGCAAATGGTAACCAACCTTGTTTGTCTGAGTGATTGGCTGGCCAAGAAGTACGACTGAGTGGACTTGTAGGCTTTAAAGTTTTACATTGTTTTAATTTTGAATGCAGTTTTTTTTTTACATAATTCTACATTTGTAAGTTCAACTTTCATGATAAAGAGATTGCACTACAGTAAGTGTCTGAGGTGAACTGAAAAATAATTTTTTTTTGTTTTTTACAGGGCAAATATTTGTAATCAAAAATAAATATAAAGCGAGCATTATACACTGTAATTGAAATTAATATATTTGAAAATGTAGTAAAAAGTGACCCCCCTCAGGAAGAGCATGTATTGAAATGCTCAAGCCACTTGCTTTCCTCCAGCAATCATGAAAATGCCAGCTGGAAACTAGTATTGAAACTGATTACAGTACATAAAAACGACGACTTGGGATGGGACCAAAACATTTATCATTGCTCATTTACAAAATCATACGCAGAGAAGCCAACAGGGCTTTATTTGCATGGAATAAAACCAAACACATTCTATACTGAGTGTGGCCTCTCGCTCAGATCCCCAGTCCTGCAAACACTTACTACAGGGCATTCGACTTACTACCGTGACTAGTTCCAAAGAAGTTAAGGAGACCATAGGAAGCAGTATATGTGGCAGTGTTTGCAGGGGTGGGAGCCCAAGTCAAGTAATGTGCATATACCACTACTGCAGCCAGACCTCCTGTGCGCAAGAGCTTTGGTTCTACCATGCAGATTGTGGGGTGGGGGAAAACAAAGGTGGCCCTAAGCAACCGTTAGGATTCCTAGGCATGACTGGGCCCTAAAATCAACCCTTTGTAACTCGGAGTAAGCTGAGAGTAGCCCTACGTTGTGCCAGCTAGAATGGGCAGGGGTGGTGGGGGAAAGGGGACAACTGTATACAGTGGTAGAGTGGCAGCCAGCGATGGCTGGCGGAGTCCAGCACCCCTGGTGAGCAGAGGGCATAAGGTTGCCAGGTGTCTGGTTTCCAACCGGAATGCCCGGTTGAAAAGGGACCCTGGGCGCCAAGTCCAGTCAGTGGCGTAGCGGAGGCCCGGGGCTAAGGCAGGCTCCTTGCCTGCCCTGGCTCCGCACGACTCCTGGAAGTGGCCGCCAGGTCCCTGAGGCCTCTAGATTCATGGGTGGCCAGGCAGGCTCTTTGCGCTGCCCCCTCCCTGCGGGCCAGGTCAGCAGTTCCCATTGGCCAGCCAGTGGGAACTGTGGTAAGTGCCGCTGGGAGTCTGAACCCCCTCCCGCACCCCAAACCCCTTTCCCAGCCTGGAGTCCCCTCCCACGCCCAGACTCCCTCTTGGCACCCACACCCCCCCATCCCCTGTCCCAGCCCCCTCCTGCACCCCAAATCCCTCATTGCCAGCCCTGAGCCCTCTCCCACACCCTGAAACCCTCACTGATGGCCCCTCTACCCCCTTCCGCACCCCCCCCAACTCCTACCTGAGCCCCCGCCCACACTGCTCAGTCCCAGCCCAGAGCCCCGTTCTGCACCGCAAACTCCTCATCCCCAAGCCCTGAGCTCCCACCCCCGTGCTGAACCCATCAGGCCCAGCCCAGAGCCCCCTTCCGCACCCTGAACCCCCTCCTCGCTAGACACACCCCGGAACTTGCACCCTCACCCACTCCTGCATCCCAACCCCCCTCCCACATGCCTCTCTGCACCCCCACAACCCCCTCCACCCCAATACCACTCTGAGCCCCCCCCACCTCAACACTCCAAGCCCCTTGGGCCTAGCCCAGAGCCCCCTCCCACACTCTGAACCTCCTCATTGCTGGCCCCCACCCCCAGTGTTCACACTCCCCCTCCCGCACCCCAACCCCCCCATCCCCATTCCCAACATGCGCCCACACCCTCAGCCCCCACCTCCTGCACCCCATCCCTGAGCCCCCCTCCAAATCCCTTGGCCCAAGCCCCCTCCTGCACCCCAAACCCTTCATTCCCAGCCCCACCCCAGAGCCCTCTAGCCCACACACCAACCTCCTGCCTCAGCCTGGTGAAAATGAGGTAGTGAGCAAATGTGGGGGTGAGCAAGCGAGGAAATTGTTAGTGGAGGGCAGGACTTTGGGAAGTGTGGGGGAGCAGGTCAAGGGTGTTAAGTTTTCTGATATTAGAAACTTGGCAACCCCATCTTGCTGGCCCTGGTCCCTATTGACGCATGGGGCCATGCACGCGCCACGGTGCCCCTCTCCCTGACAGATATGTGGCGTCCTGCCGGGTGGGAGGAGGTACTATTTAAGTTGATGGGGGGGGCACAATGTAAAGGTTTGGCTGTCCCTCAAACTGCTTGAATCACCCCTCTCCCCATAGTGCAGGGATCCCCTCCTTATGCTCGTCTGGCCTCAAAGGTCACTTGCCTGGCTCAGCTCTGGCCAGCTGCTGTGCAAGGAGGCGAGGCTGGGTGGTTTCCAGATGTGGCTTCCAAGGTGCCCCCCTTCCCCCCCCGACCTTCTGGGCTGGGGCCTCCTGCACATTGGCCAACCCATGTCCCTTGTTAATTCGCCCCCAGGTCCCTGTGCAAAACTCAAACAAACATGAGGGCAGGCATGCAGCCCCATGGGCCAGCGGTGAGCCCACAGAGGGCCCAGCCCTGAAAGCATTGGACAGGACCAGAATTTGCGCCTCCGTCCCTGCCACGCACAGCTACATTGGCCTGCCTGGAGCCCCCCCGGCCCAATATAGAAGTCAAATTATGCCTGTGCCATCTTTTAGAGCAGTGGCCTAGGGACCAATCAGTTGGCCAAGGATTCCTGAAGACCTCACTGTGAGCTCTGGCCCTACATCTCTGACTGGTGGCATGCCCCAACACCCCCTTAGACACCTCAGTGCTGAGGGGGGGGCATTGGCTGCCTGCTTATGGCAGCTAGAGTAACCCTGTGCACTGCTCTAGTAAAGAGTACTTTTGGAGAAAGAACACCAGTCAATTGTGCCATGAAATCAAACAATCATGTGTGACTGAAAAGGGCTATCAGTCAGCAACCCTGGTGTTGTAGTCCCAGTTTGACAACAGACTGAGTCATTTAACCCCCATGCCTCACTTTCCCCATTTGTAAAGCTGTGATAATACACCTCTACCCTGATATAACGCGGGCCTTGGGAGCCAAAATATCTTACAGCGTTTTAGGTCAAACTGTGTTATATCGGGGGGGGGGGGGGTCGGTGACATGGCAGGGGGTGAAGTAATGCGGCACCGAGGGAGGTTTCTGATGGAGCAGTGGGGAGGGCTGGCAGGTTAGCAGTGGAAGGGTCAGTGGGGGGCTGTGTATGCGCTCAATGGTGGGCCAGTGGGCGATCTGGGCAGTCCTGGTGGAGCACTGAGGAGCGAGCGGGGGATGGGAAATCAGTATCTCCTGGTGGCTGTGTGAGCACGGGAAGGACAGACACTTGTGGCACGGGGGTAAGCTCTGGGTGCCAGGGGCGCTGCAGGAGACGTGCTGGGACCAGCAAGGCGAGGAGTGTCTGGAGGGGAGGTGCCAGGGCAGCTAGCGGGACGAGAAGTTCCACAGCTCTGGAGACTGTCCTGGTGGAGAGCTGGGGGGCTCCCTAGAGGTGCAGCGCAGGCCCCCTTGGTGTAGTGGTGCAGCAAAAGCCTGATGGGAGTTGGGACCCATACAGCATGGAGCACTTACTATCCTGTGACTCACAGCTCAGCGCCAGGCTGGGGAGCTTGGGGCGGACTCACTGAGGGAGAAGGGTCCGTGCCTAGCAGGGGAAGCAGGTGGGGCAGGGAGATGCTGACTCTCAAGCCCCTCTTCCTATAATCCCAGTGGAGCTATATGATGCAGGGAGCCCCACAAACCAGCTTGAAACCAAAAGCTTCCCTAGACCTTGTGCCAGGATGCTGCTCAATGTGAAGGAGCATTCAGAAGAACCCGAACACAAAGAGGTTTCCCTTGGCACCAGTGTCTCCGATAATGGCTGTCAGGGTGCTGCTAAACACGAGGCCAGAATACAGGCTCCAGAGGGGGTCCCTAATCTCACTTGCACCATCACTGTGCCCCTGCCACCCCATTAGTAAGCAAAGCCTCCCTGGACTCAGGGTTCCCTCCCCACTGCCTCATGAGGTCCCTAAAATAGGCCCTTGTAGCTTCCCTCTTATGTAGAGCAGGGTAAGGCAACTCCAGAGAATTGCAATCTTTCTGCTTTCCCAGGCATTTTCCTTCACTGTCTCCTTCTCTCGCCTGGCTTCCCTTTGTTCTCTCTCTTCCTCCCCCTTTCCTGCTCTTCTCTCATCATTTTAATTTTTGCACTGCTCGCCTCCCCGCTAGTCTCCTCACCGTCTGTCCAGCGTGCCTCCCCCCATCCGCCGCTCTCCTGCTCGCCATCTTCCCACCCACCTGCCTCCCCATTCACCTCCTCGCCTGCTTGCCCATCCGCCTCCTTTACCTTTATAACACTTAACAGCAGTAAATCTGAATTCGTATTATCTCAGGTCACGTTATATCAGGGTAGAGGTGTCGCATGAATTAATTAGATCTTGTTTGTGCTCTAGTAGAGCAGTGTAAGTATTATGGACTTTGTCTTGCACAGAATTATACCTCTACATACTACTGTGGCCACAGACCTTTATGGCTAGGCTGTGTCAACTGCATGCAGCTCATTGTAAAGCGTGCTTTAACTAAACTGCAGCCAGTGGGAACACCACAAAGCATTCAGAATACCTCCTGGAGCTCTCCAGTGTGCAGTGGGAGTGTGTACACTGCTATACTCATTCTCAGAGTGTAGCATACAGCTGCCCCCACCCATGACTGGCCATGGTACCGCCTACTTCCCAACTCCACTGGGAACCGGTGTCCAGACCTTCACATAGGTAGGTGCCTAACTTCTATTGATTTCTGCTGCTTCGATGATATGATCCTCCCTAGCCTAATTCAGATTCTTACCCTGCTTTTTTTGAAACAAAACACTCTGCCACATGCTTTGCTAATAAAGAAATGCACTAAAAATAGCTGCATGCACACATACCTATGCGAAATGAATGCCATCTCTGTCCCTGAGTTTGCAGATTCATGAATAATCTTATGTTTGTAACAGGCACACAGATCATCAGTGAAAAGTGTCCTTGGAATCGGCAGAAAAGGAGCAGGGAGTTAAAGCACTAAAATCAGCTTTTCTTACCATGGAAATCAAGACTCTGACAACCAGCATTCAAAGGCTTCATGTGCACAGCACATTTCATGACTCTGAATATAAAACTAGTCACTCTAGCACACAGGACATGCCTTTCATAAATGGAACGTGCCAACTAAGCAGCACAGCGCATTTAATGTTTTGGGGTAACATGAATATTACACGAATACAAATGTACACAAAGCAGTGACATATGAACCGGAGAGGTAGTCTGTTTTTATTTACCTTCCTCTTTACATTTGGTCTCAGAGTAGTAGCTGTGTTAGTCTGTATTCGCAAAAAGAAAAGGAGTACTTGTGGCACCTCAGGGATAAGCTTTTTGTGAGCTACAGCTCACTTCATCTGATGGAAGTGAGCTGTAGCTCACGAAAGCTTATGCTCAAATAAATGTGTTAGTCTCTAAAGTGCCACAAGTCCTCCTTTTCTTTTTACATTTGGTGTCACAGATGTATGCAAAACGTACACACAAGCAAATCCACAACTTACAACTGCCAAAGGACTGAATTCATGCTGTCTGTACTCCTGATCCTGCACCACTGGGAGCTTCGCCATTTACCTCTCTGGACACTAGCTCAGATTTTATGGTCCTACCTGCTAAAGGCCACATTCAGCGTGACAGGAGGGCATGGGACACTTCTCTCCATGCACAGTCTATTTCTCTCATGCCCAGGAGATAGGTTCCACTGTGTTGAAGCACAGCGGCACAAGCATAGTCTTCTAGATCAGGTGGGGTGCAGTCACTGTTACATGCTAACCAAACTGCACACACTAGGCAGCAAACAAGTGCATGTTACTGCAGATTCCCCAGGCTCACCTGGATGAATACTGCACCTGCATTGCTGTAGGAGAGGATGCACTGCTCAGTGCAACCACCTGAGTCAGAATTTAGCTTCTGTAGCTGATTGGTAACTATAGAGGTAAGACAAATTTGGCTGCACTGGGCATATACACAACCAATCAAATTGCTATCTTTGGAAAAATATCTCCTGGCCACCATTCTCCAGCATATGAGCAAAATCCAATGTCCAAAGCAACTTTTAATAATACATAAGCATATGACTAAAATGGCTCTCGGAAAAGTAATGCACAAAATGACACTCCCCTATAAGCATTTGTATAAAGCCAGATGTCTTGCTTTACAGTTTAATTCACTTTAACACCACTATGTGGCAAATGATATATAAGAAAACTAATGTACAATTAAAACACAGTGCTGTGGGGTTTTGGTTTTAATAGAGATGTACAAACAGACTGTCTGCATATTTTTTGAAGGAAATGTTGAGGGATCAAATAGCTACTAAAAGCTAGGTTTTGTGACATACCACAAGCTTATGCTGTCACTTCAGACTATAATGTGATGCCCAAACTCTGAGATGTCAAAGTTCACTCTTTAGTGTTCTAAAGAATCCGCTCAGTTTCTCACATTCTCATATCAGGAGTGTGAAAATAACCTGTTTCTGTAATCCTGAGTTGTTGGGGGCGGGGGGAGAAACTAACAGACAAAATATGTTCTGGTTAGCAGAATATATTTTTTAAACCTCCCTTTTCCAAATTGAAATCTGAATAAAGGAAATTCATTTCTGTGAAGGGTAGTACCCAAGCAACCTGACAGTACTTTGCTGTTGTACACCATCGTGTGTCCCATATTCTGGACCCTACAGTGAGTCTGCAGTACAGCTGGGGAGGGTATTTTATCATGCAAGAAGGGTGCATGAGAGGAAGGATGTCCTTGTGGGCTGGGTTCTAGGAGATCTGGGTTAAATTCCCAGCTCTGCCACAGACTGACTGTGTGATGCTGGGCAAGCCACCGAGGCGGAAGGCTCCTTAGTTCAACATTTAGGCACATTAGAACTGTTGAGCCGTCAGTCTAGGCTTGTCTGACTGCCTATGAAATTTCTTTGTGGGGCAGGAATATATACACCCAGGGAGCGGAAGGTGGCACTGGAGTCCTTCAGGATATGCAAAGACTCACCTGCCTTTTTGTTAAACAGATGAACGTCATTGAAGGGCAGATCCTCCACGGTTTCTGAAGCTCCCTGGGAAACCCTGGAGCATGAACCCCTGATTCCCTGCACATTGCAATGGCTGTAGCCATCACCCCTGAAGATGTCTCAACTGCATCTACCACTGATGGAAGAGTGGTCCTGGCAACAATCTTGCCTTCCTCTATAAAAGCCTGGAAACAAGCTCTGTCCTGCTGCGGAAACTTGTCAGCAAAGTCCACAGATTCTGAATAGTTCAGAAAATCGTACTTAGCCATCAGTGCTTGGTAATTGGCTATCCTGAACTGAAGGCTAGAAAAAGAAAAGACCTTCCTTTCCAATAAGTCAAGATGTTTGCCTCCCTTATCAGTTAGAGTAGATCATGGGTGTTGCTGCCTAGATTTCTCCATGGACCACTAAAGAGTTTGGGGCAAGATGAGAGAACAGAAATTCCACCACTTTGCTGGGACATGGTAATATTTCTCTGCCCTCTTAGGAGTAGGGGCACAAGTAACTGGGGTATGCCAGAGCACTCTAGCTTACTCCAGTATGGCTTTGTTAACAGGGAGCGCTATCTGACTGGAACCAGAGGATAGCAGGATGTCCAGGAGCTTATGCTGAGGATCCTGAACTTCCTTAAGAGGAATCTGCAGCTCCTCTGCAATTCTGCAAAGTAGTTCTTGGAACTGCTTATAGTGATCAGAAGGACGGAGACATCAGAGCCACCACCTCATCTGGGGATGAAGATGACAATCTTGTTGGTTCTAGTGGAACTGCTGGGTCCAGCATGTCTTCCTACTCCTCCTCAACTGGATTAGGAGGCAGCTCTGATTGCCCTCTCGGACAGGTGGATGAGATGGTTCCCCAGCACACGGCAGCATGGTATGGGTCACATGGCTCCCAATAAGGCCAATAAAATGAATTGGATGAGGGTGGCAGAGGTCCCCATGGCATGGGGTACCAACAGCTGTGAGGCAGGTGGTGAGGTGGAGGTTGATCCCAAGCTGGTCCAGGCCTCCTGTCTGGGAAGGCATGTTTTGGAGGAGGAATTAATGGTTCATTGGGTAGTTCAGAATCTTTCGAGGAAGAGAAAGCCTCGGTCAGAGTTATGAGGTGAGCTAGGGCACATGTGTGGACCAACGAATTCTGATTTCATAATTCTCCGGCTCCAGGCACTTGGAACACATGTGTACCCACTGTGGAATACACAGACGGATCAGCACTCGAAGATGAATACACAATATTGATCAAGCCTTTGCTGAGAATGCTTTAAAGGGAACTGGCGATGCAATCTGTTCCATGCCTTTCATGGTATGTATCGATGCAATCCATGATGAAGCTTGCAAAGAATTGGTGTTACTAGTGTAGTATTTAATGGAGAAAAGAACTGGTATTAGAGAGATTTCTAGATTTAAATGAGTACAATATAGGGACCAATGTATCTGTATTTGAGAAGACCGATGTTAGTAGTAGATGTTGAAGATACAGTAACTAGAGTATACGGTCACTTTTCAAGAAGCTCTAAAAGAAAAGAAATACTGAAAGAATCTGATGATTTTTGCAGTGTAGAAAGCAGAAAATTTTTGAACTATGTGCTAAGTCGATGGCTAAGTTTGCAGCACTGTTTAACCAGACTACTTCAGCAATATCCAGCTTTGAAGGCATATTTTTTTCCCCCAAGGTAATAAAAATCCTGGTGTAAAATCTCAAACTAATTTTTGAAAATCTACAAACTGAACTGTACTACCTGTTTTTGCGCATTATGCAGCTGTTTCAAAAGATCTTTGGAAGATACATAAAGCCATCCTGTCTCAAAGAAACAAAAGAATTGTCAAAGGTAGATTTCTTAAATCCAGAAAACTAAGTGGAGGATAACAAATTGTTGGATTTTGTGCCTCACCATTCCTGAAATCTGAAGAAATGCAATGCAGTGCTCATTGTGACACTATCAGCAAAAGTTTTTACTCTGATGTGAAGTGAATGAAAGTGAAGCTAGGAAAGCTCTTCTGGAAAATCTCCCAGAGAAGAAAGACATTTTACAGTCTGTGTTAGATTTCAGGAAAAGAAGCAGACATGAGTTTTCTATTCTAGTGAAGACACTGACGATCTTTCCAGTAATTCCCACAGAAGAAATGGAGAGCCTCAATAATGAATTTGGTACCTCCCAGTTAACTAGGAAGTTTGAATTTGAAACAGAATCAATGCTAGTGATTTTTTTTGTGACGGGTGAACTAAAAAGTCCAGTGTCAGGGACACCACAGTTTCCACTGCTTTCCAAAACTATCTGAGTTTTGTCTCATAGCAGTGCTGGGTGTGAAAGGATTTTCAGCATATGTGTAAAAATTTGCACCCATCAGAGAAGTGAAATCAAAACTAAGACACTAAGGGGTGTACTTGCCACCAGAATGAATTTGTTTTGCAAACAGTACTGTTACCAGCTCTACCTGAGCAACGAGAGGCTGAAGAAAGCAAGAGTGCTATGTTCACAGTACTTCAACAAGATCATTAATAAGTTAAAATACATGTTTTTATGGTATTATTTAGCAAAGTAATATAAGGGAACTTATATAGTGTGTCTAGTCAGATAGACGTTATTAGCAAATTAAACACCACCACAAATTTCCCTGAAATTATTTTGGAAATGTTGGTCACTATGGATATCTGAGACAGAAGGGGGAACTGAACCAGAGCCTCCCATGTTCCGGGTGACTACCAGTGTTGGTGGGAGGGGACCCCTCCTCTGTTTTTCTTGGGAAAGGGCTGACCTGGCTTAGGCAATGAATTCCAGGAAAGGCTTCATGGCTGTGACTCCCAAGTGGAGGGATTCCCTTCGGCCTGGAGTTAGGCACCTACCACCTACTGAAGAGTGGAGTTTAGGCCACATCTCTCTCGTTGGCATTTCCTACTGGCTATCTTAGGCGGCTCCTAGCTCAATCTGCTGCTTTTTGTGAATCCTATCTTTAGGCAACTAATTCTCTCCTTCTATTGTATAGGGAGCCAAGGTGCCTAGCTCAGGGCTGTGAATTCCACTCAGTGGCAAGGTGCCTAAAAGTTAGCCTTTGCAATGCTGAGCCTAGTCCCCCATGTGACTCTCATGCTGAATCTCTCAATGCCTCAGTTCCTAGCTGTAAAATGGGGCCAAAAACACCTTTCATCTGTACAGACTGAAAGCTCTTCAGGACAGGGAGAGTCTTCTACTAAGTATATGCTAAGCACCACAGTAGGGGTCTGATCTCTGGACTTTAGGTAGTATTGTAATACTACTACGGATAAGGAGGGGTATGAGTCCATCTCCTCTCTTATAGCTGTATGGACTCCTTAGAGCTAACTGGAATAAAAAGTACTAAAAACACCCAAAAAACTTGTAGTGTGAAATTAAGCAGGAGTGGCTCTGAACCATACACAAAGAGCAGATCTGTTGAGTAAGAAGATGCTATTTTTGAATAGTCACTTTTCAGAGTAGAATTGCTTGTTAACCTCACTGGAGATTCTAAAGCTATTGTTGGTTTTTTGGGGGTGGGGTAAAGAAAATGAGTCATTATCTATAAAATGGTTTTATCTCTCTGAAAATAGATATAAAATTCTCAGAAAGCTGCTGTCCATTACAAACACTTAATGGGTGACACATGAAAGGCTTTTCTTGATGCCTCACCTGGAGAGACTGATTTCTGAGAAGGGAAGGCCTATTTGTGATGTATTGGTACTAACCAGTTTCAAACTAGTACAGTAAGTTGTAATACCACTTACAATGACAGCAGAATAAAGACATACTACGAGAGATATTGTTTTCAACAAAGCATACTTTCAAAAAATATGGTCAGTCTTTCAAAGGTTACATTAGCGAAGGTGTAAAATGTATGCTTGGTGTTGGAAATCCAATACATTTGTATTTTTTAAAACAAAGATGAACCGTCCGAGGCATTGCTAATTGCTAAACCAGAAGAAAGTTTAATTGCTATTCTGAATGATCTTCCTCAGGAGTCGGAGTCTTGACATTACCACATCCCAGTCTGCATAAGCACCTTCAAGGTGACGGGATGTTTCTGCTCCTGATTGGTAGCTCCGGCGACCATGCAGTAAACGCCAGTTGTCAAATGTTACTATGTCCCCTATGAAGATATTAAACAATGTACTTCACAACTTTGTCATGTTTTCCATCATTTCAAATATATAACACATTGACGTGATTTAAATGCATTTGTCTGAGTGTCTCTTAAAACCCGCAGCCCCAAAAAACCCATTCCCCACAATTGAGAAATGTAAACATTCTGAGAAAGCACAACATTCCATCACTTACATTTGTCTGTGCCTGGGGTAAGTGAGCATAATCATCAATATACTGATGCTCAACATCCCAGTGGCATTGAGGTGTGCTATTATCACCATGTTACAGATGGGGAACTGAGACACAGAGGGTCTAAGTAACTTGCCCCCAGTCACCCAGGAAGTCTATGGCTGGGAATTGAATTCAGGTCTCTCAAGTCTCAGGCTAGAGCCCTAGCCACTGTATCTTCTGCAAACTGCAACTCCCTCCCACATCACTAGGGTTATAGGGGCTGCAGGAGTACTACAATCCTATGGCTGAAATAACCACTTTGCATGGATCCAACCAGCACAGAGAAAGGGGTTTGACATGAAATAAAATGACCTCACCAATGGTGGCAATGCAGCAAAGCCTCTACTCCCCCACCCCACCCTTCTCTGTCACCTGAATGGGGGGAAATGTACAGGGTACCCAATTCATTGTTGTAGAGGATAACTACAGTGCAGAATGGAGCTAGGAGGTTCTCACTCCTCAGTCAGGGACCATTCACATTTGGCCAAGTTCTGAGCCTTTGCAAAACTGCCGTTTGCACCCCAGATGCCAACTTTCATGCGGTAATAAGCACCCCGATTTTCACAATAAGCCAAAAATCAAGCTAATCCCATTTCAAAACAAGCCAATCCCTAAGTCCCCCAACACTCTATGTGACTAGATCCCTTCGGTGTGCAGTCTGGGATTGTGGTGGTCCCACTGTGCACCCCTGACTCTCTCTCCCCCTTGTCCTTGCTTGCCGGGAGCCGATCAAAAAACAGAAGCAACAAGCTACAACAAGCAACAGGCTACAAGCCAAACAAGCAACAAGCCAAAAACTAGCCAACAAGCAACTCACAAGCCAATTAGGACAAAAACTAGCCCAATTTCTGTGTTTTTTTCAGGGGTTTGGCATGTCTGGTTTGCACATGCTCAGAAGCAGCTTCTTACGGTCTGGGAGCTAAATTCTTCAAAGGTTCTGCTGGCACTGAATATACAGCTCCATGTGTGACTGCACTGCGCATGTGCTATCCCCAAAGAACAACTCAGCATGCTTCATCTCTGGGAGTTGGGGCTAAGCTGGGCTGCTGTGGTGCGGGCACCAGAACTGAGAGCAATGGACTTTCTGTCCTGTAGACTCAATGCTCTTGCTGATGGTGCCCAACAGTGAGAAGGGGGAAGCAGCCTGATTAAAAGGCCGAGGTGAGGAATGGTGGGGGTGTGCGTGTGTTTGGGTGTGGGGGAACATGAAGAGAGGGGAATGAAAGAGCCAAAGGGTGGGGAGAAGCAGACAGGGAAGCAGTAGCCAACAGGAGCTGGGGGAAGGGGCAGCAGAGGGAGTTAGGGAGGAGAGGTGCAGGTGTCTGGGTGGTATACAGGTGTGATTCAGGGGGAACAGAGGTAGGAGCCTGGGTCTGGATAGGATTAGAGGGAATGGAGGCAGGAACTGGGGGAAGGGGCTAGAGAGGGTGAGCCAGACTTGGTGGGGGATGGGGCAAAAGGGTCAATAAGCACTTAGCGCATACTATCTTTGGGCTTTTGCTCTGCTGCCCACCATTGCAACGTCTGAGCACCTTCCATGCAAAATCCCCTCCAGAATGCAGACCTGAACCCAGGAGTCCTGAGACTCTACATTCCTCTGCTGTCAGCAAATATGTACGAAACCTACTTGCAAACTGTGTCTTATCTCCCTCTATGCCCAATCCACGTACTCTGCCTGCTGCTGCTATCAATAACTCTGTTAGCTCAAGTGGCAGAGGTCTGAGAGGATCTAAAGTTTCCAAACCTGCTTGATGACCCAGGCAGGTGTCAATATGATGCTACATGATGGAATTTCTGTGTTTTCAGATTTTTTTTTTTTACATGAGAAAATGACATCCAAAAAGACCACATTAAAAGAACATTACTAAGGTTGCAAAGTCGAGCACTAAAAAGTTAGGAAATGTCAGAATTAAGTTTGCCCATACAGCCTTAATTCAGCCTCCTTGTGCGTATGGCTTCTGATACATACTACTTTTTCCCCCAAAGGCACTCCTGCCTCATTCAGTGCTTTGGGAATTAATCAGGTTTATATAGTCAAGGAGGGTGTTATCTCTAGGACTCCTGCCGCACGTTGGAAGGTATGTAGTGAATAAGGAAGGAAACTGGAGAAAGAGAAACAAAACTGCCTGTTCTCAAATGGATAAAGCAGATGTTAATTCCTTTGAAGTTTACACCGCTGTTGTGGAGTCAGGAGTCTGGCTGATTCCATAGGTGTGGTGGGAGAGAAGGACCTAGATGGGTAATGTTAGACAAAGGATTAGGAAGCTGTTAAATAGAGCAGACTGAGGAAGAGAGGTAGGATCTGCAGTGAAAGAGACTGTAACCAGTTTCCTAGACTCTGGGTAACCAGGTAGGGCTATGTGAGGGGAGGGCGGCTGCATGAGAGATTGTGCAGAGGAGGAGGAACTGTGAAGGACTGCATGGAGGATGAGAAAGACGGACCATGAGGGATCATGCAGAGGAAGTGGAAGGACCACGGGGGATCTGCGGCAAAAGAGGAAGAACCACGAGGTATCACATGCCGGGGGAGGAGGAGACAGGACCATGTGGATCATGTGGAGCAGAAAGAGGGACCACAAGGGACCATGCCAAGGCGGAGCAAGGGGAGCAAGTACAACAAGGGATCGTGCAGAGGAAGGACAACAAAAGATCACGAGGGATGATGCTCAGGGGCCAACAAGGGATCACTGGAGGAAGAGGGACCACAAAGGTTTGCTCAGAGAAGCAGGAGGAGGAAGCCGCATGAAGTATCATGCAAGGATGAAGAACTGTTGGGAAGAAACAAATGCAGGTGCCTTAAACAATGAGTGATGAGTAAAAAAACAACTAGGTTGAGGAAAGAGACAGCTCCACAGATAAGAGTCGCCCACAGCAACCTCCCAGGAGATGTGTGAATCTTTATTCCCTCTGGTGCAGTGAGCTAGGGCAGAGCCTTATTCCCTGTTACAGCCAGCACAGGGGAGGGGCTAATAAAGTTCTCGTGTGTGGGGCTGTCTCCAGCCGGGGGAGCAACCTTGGGAAAGTGGCTGAAATAGATAGCACTCATGGCTCCCCACCGACCTCGATCAAGGCTCCACATACGATAATCTGGACAAAAGGTTTTAGTGGGTGAAGTCACTTCACATACACAAAGCCAGAGGCTTTGTGCAGGTGATGAGCATGGGTGCTAGCAAGTAAAATCCACCCATAACCCAGAGGCTCCCCCCCGACCTCGATCAAGGCTCCACATATGATAATCTGGACAAAAGGTTTTAGTGGGTGAAGTCACTTCACATACACAAAGCCAGAGGCTTTGTGCAGGTGATGAGCATGGGTGCTAGCAAGTAAAATCCACCCATAACCCAGAGGCAAGGTGTGAGTCTGCAGTGCACACCCCTGGCAGCTATTACTGCAGCCTATGGGCTGGAAAAGCATGTGCTCCAGCACCTCCGCCCTGCGTGCGTGGGGCAACAGTGCCACTAGAGACATGTAACAATGGATCCCCTGGTCCATCTACGTTGCTGCCCTCTGCAGCACACAGGACAGCAGATGCCTTCACGTGTAGCCCTGCTGCACAACCCGACCGCGACATATTAGCATGGCATGTCTTTGCCCAAGCACTGTGCACCAGGGTAATTTTCAGCCAACAGGCTCAGAACAGCCTGTATTTTTTGTGTGTAACATATCTAACTACATTATAAAAACATTCAGGTTACAAAGTCAAGTGTTTAAGATTAAAGAAATGCCAGAATGTAGCTAACCCATGCAGCCTTAATTCAGTCCTCTTGTGCGTATGGATTATGATACAGGTTACGTCTATACTTGGAACTACGGGTGGGATTCTCAACTCATGTAGCCATACTTGTACTAGCCCTCATTGCATTTGTGTACTGAAAATAGTAGGGTAATCACGGTAGCAAAGACTGAAGGGAGCGGCAGGAACAGATTAGTCACCTTGAGTACAAAGCCGACTGGAACCCCCTGGGTACATGCTTAGGGTGGCTAGTCAGTGCCACTGCTTGCTGCTGCCCATTCTACCACAGCTACACTATTATATTCAGGGTGTATGGGAACTGGGATTCACACTCTCAGCTCCAAGTGTAGACACAGCAACAGTCCTTCATTAAGTGATCACATGCTACTTTTTTCCACAAGACCCCTGCTCACACAGTGCACAGCAGGAACGTGCTCACTTAATGGGCAGCTATTCAACGGTCTGTGTTATCCTCATCACTCAGCCTGGGCCCCATGAATTATTTACTGCACACTATTTAAACACAGCTCCAAAGACAGAGTAATTAATTTCCTCCATCATGGTTTCTATGATGCTCTCATCATAGTATCTGATTGCTTCATACCTAATAGTGAATGCGTCTTCATAACACCCTGTAAGGTAGTGCAGTGCTATTATCCCCATTTTACAAATGGGGAACTAAGGCACAGAGAAATTAAGGGTAAAACTGTCTAAAGTGTCCACTGATTTTGATGCCCAACCTCAGACCTCATTTTCCAGAATATTTAGCATTTGTATAGCACTTTACGTGTTCAAAGCACAGCTCCAATTGATTTCAGCTGTGGTCATGAGTGCTCTGGACTTCTCCAAATCTGGCCCCAAGTGTTTCATGCTGGGTACTCAGAGAGGACCAAGGTTGTCTTTTCATACCAGCATTGTACTAACATATTCAAATGGTTAGGATTTTGTTCTTAGGCAAAGGCATGAAAAAAATCTTCCAATTACTATAAGCAAAAGCAACTTATTCACTGACCTGGTTTCATCTTGTAGGTAAACTTATGTTCCGGGCTGTTCAATAGATCAATGAACTCCTTCAGAGCTGCATAAAATGGCTGCACTTTTTCAGCAGGTATGTCAAAAACAGTGTCTCTTGTTGCATTATTATAATTGATACGAACCACTTGGCCTCTGTAATCTACACTGAGAGACAGAGAGAGAGAGAAAAATGTATTATCATGCCACTCAAACCTTTTAGCATTTTTTTGTTTTGGTGGGGACAGGTTCACTTCCCCCTTTCAGTTTTTGGTTGTTACAGTACAGTTCAACAGTGAAGTGCAGTGCTATGACAAAGTATTGTACATTATTGCATATCAGGCTGCTGATTCCAAGTTTATCAATGGGTCAGGGTTTAGGAAGATTAATAATCAAAGGGACTTGAGCTCCTAAATATTTTGGTATTTTTGAAAATCCCACCCTTATTCTGTCTATATAAAAAATCAAAACACACACACACACACAATTTATATATCTGTATGTGTGTGTGTTTTGATTAATAGATTTTTACAGCCAGAAGGGACCATTATGACATCTAACCTGACCTCCTTGTCATGTAACAAGATTAAAAGAAGATGATAATACAACAAGACAGCCTCTATGTAACATCAGAGATTTTTCTATCTAGGAGCTTCAAAACATGGCAGTGCCCCAGCATTGGTGAACATTTCATACAGAATTTAGATAGAAGACCAACTGCTCCTAAATTCTATTTGCAGCTGTGAAGTATATCAACTGAAGGTTATTATGGTTGCTGTGAGTTCCTGGAGGGTGGAAAGAATGAGTAGGGAAAGTTGAGACATGATAAATTCAATAATAAAAATAATAAAGAATAACTGACACATTATAGTACAACATAATTCAGTTGACAAGACATAATACTTAAAGACAAAATTGAAACACTGTTTTCCCACAAGGTGGCAGGCACAGACCCTCTAACATCTTTCTGCAAGAGAAACAATGAAAGATGCAAATAGAACTTTTTCATTCAAACAAATTGTTGCTATGCAACCAGTACTAAATTTGTAATGAAAGAGTTGTTGGGGCTCAAACAATTTTTTTACATTCATAACTAATGCAGCAAGCCCAGATGTGCCTGGGCTATGAACTGCCAAGCCTAGAGGTACTGGGGCTCAGCCCTGGCAAGCCTAGGCACAAATTAAGCACTGTGTGCAACTCTGTAATTCCTGGTGAACCAACAATATGGTATGAGCTACTACTGGGATTTTGCTAGCTATAATCACACCCTTGACTATTACTCACTCTATAATCCTCTGTTTAGACTGCATAGTGAAATCACAGTAGTCGACCCCAACATCCGTGAAGTCTACAAGGGTGGAGGAGAGGATTTGAAAGGCTTGAGGATTTTGCTCCTTCAGCTTGTTGGATACGTGAACTCCATCTACAACTTCACTTTCACCTCCAGTAGCTGCTTGTTTTATACAATGAAGAAACTGAATCTGTAACAAATTAACACCTCATTACAGGAAGAAACAGCCTGGATATTTAATAATTCATTATCATCAGTTCACTCATCTGCCCTGTCATTTAAAAATATCCTTAAAGGACCAGTAGCCCCATTGTATTACCCCAGTTTTACACCAGTCTGGATCTACCGTAACAATGGGGTAAAACTTAAGTAACAGGGTGGTGAATTAGGCCTAAATCACAAAGCTCTGGTTCCATAATTTTCTTCTGGCCTAACTGGTTATTGTTGCCATATAATTTTAAAAACACACTGTGGTCATTACAGCCTCTCTAAATATAGGGGATTATTTTCCACTTGCAGAAATGACATAATTAGGTGTGAAAAATGTGCTCACCAAGGATGTCAGTATATGTCACTGGCTTATTGAGGACAACAGGTCTAAGATATCTACAGCAATAATGGACCCTCAGGAAACATACACTTCTGTTTATGGTGTGTTCAGAGTTCTCAAAAAACTGGACAAGATGGAGCTGAAGGGCCAAATTCTGCTCTCAGTTGCACGAATGTAAATCCGGGATAACTCTAGTGGGCTCAGTGTTGCTCCCAGTTAATGACAAACTCCCATTGACATCCAGGAGAGCAGCATCAGGTCCACTTACTGCAGCTTACACCAGTGTAACTAAACACAGAATTGGACCATGCAACTTTCACTGAAGTCATAGAGGACTGCACCCATGTAATGGAAATGAGTTAGATCTGAAGAAAATGGGAAGTAAGGCAAAGAAGCGAGGGAAAGGAACAGATTCAGGTATTGTTAGCTGCCCCTGTAGTATGGGGTGATGTAATATGGCAGTGATTATACAGAAAAACAGGGGTAACTGTTGAGGCAGAAGAAGAATCAATCAACATAACCATTAATGAAATGAAGTTTAGATTCTAATTACAACCTGCCCTAGTTAAGGGATGGTGTATGGCTGCACTGGCCCAGGCACAAAGGTGATTCAGGGACTCACAATTCATTCCCTGTTCCTTCCGTGCGCTGGGGAGGGAGTACATTACTTCAGCTTTTTCACAGAGGAGCTTGCTCCTACTCTATATCTCACACCAGCTATTCTGGACAGAATGTAGAGGTGCACAGGAGACAGAACACCCATTTGCTTACAGCAGGGAGTACTAGGTAAGCAGCTTCTTCTCTCACCACCGTGGTGAGAACTGCAATCTGTGCATGAGCAAACAGGGGCATACATGGCTAGGGAAGGGCTGTGACAGTTTAGCCCACAGTGATAATGGCCCTATGACAAAACTCCAAGGGATGCAAAATGAGACATTAGCTTTCCAGTCAAGAGAGATGGAAACTCCAACCAAAACTAGCACTCATCTTTAACAGGATATCATGTGAATGAAATCAAAACTTTGGAAAAATCCTCAGATATTTTTATAGGTGGCCTCTAAAAATTAACCACCACCCATTTAGGGCTATACTTTCTGATAGTCTGTTTTAGATACATTAAAGTACCCAGATACTATATAATAATTAGGAAATTAGGACAATCATGTATTGTGAGCCTAGGTGGTAAATATGTTTCTAATGTGCTAAAAAACAATTTTTATTTTAAAGTAGGGTTTTAGAATTGAACAGGTTGTGCTTTTCTTTTTTTTTAAATGTTTTATGGCAGTATGTGATTTTGTGGTTTTGGCACAGATAAGATAGTGAGCTAAGGCACATCTGTTTCCTATTAATGAATTACCACTCTATTCCTATTCCACATTAACCAACAGCATCTAAATGAATTTTCAGCAAGTAGCACATTAATGTGAAAGATTTGGCACCTCTTCAGAAATAGATCATACTGGCCTGTTCATTTCATCACAAAATCATTACTTCAAGCCTTGGGGTGGGGTGGGGTTGGGAGGGATGATTGCAAGTATGAAATTTGAAGATACAAATGTTTGCTGTAGTATCTTTGTTAGTTATACATTCTTTGTGGTACTCTCTTTCAGGTCTGTTGTGAATTATGTGAATCATGTTGTACTGTCATGGTGACTCAGAGTTCCACAGGTTAACTGGGTAAAAATGCATTTCCTGTTATTAGTTTAAAGTTGTTGCCATCCAGTTTCACAGGATATCCCCTGTTTCTTGTATTATGCTTAAGTAAACAGAAGTGGCGATTTACCTTCTCTCACTCGTTAGGTTTATATCTTGATCATCTCTCCTGTTTGTCTCCTCTCTGAATTACACACACCTAGAATAAAGTTTTCAAAGCTGCCTAAGGTATGCCCAGTTCCCATTAGTTTTAATCTTTTCAATCTCTCTTCACGTGGAAGTATTTTCAGGCCTCTAATGATTTTTTCTCCCCATCTCTGAACTTCTGTTTTTGTTACATTATTTTTCAGATACGGTGGTCAGAAATGGACACAGCATTCAAAGCGAGGGACCCTATTGAACTGAATAATGGCACTGTAATATAGTCAATATGATTTTTGTGCAACATACTGCATCCTAATATGCAGTTTGCTCTTTTTGACTTGCACATTACACAGAGGTTTTCACTTAGCCATCTACAGTGGCTTCCTGACCTTTTTCCTAAGTAATTACAGTTCATTTAGTCCCTGCTAGTATGAGTATTTTAAAATGTTTCCTTCCAATGTGCACTACCTCTCATTTGTCAAAAGTGAATTTCAGTTGCTATCCTTGCTGCCCATTCAGCTGGTTTTGTTAGGCCACTCTGGAGTACCCCACATTTTTCCGTAATCTTGATTTACTTCAATCATGTTGTATCTTCTTACTGTTCACTGTCTTTTCTAGACCATTAATGAATATTTTACAGAACATTAGCACTATAATAGCTCGATGGCTCACCTTTTGCTACATGGAAAACTGACTATTTATCCCTGCTCTTTTCTGTCTCTTAACCAACTCCTAATTCAGGACACAGAACTTCACCTTCACCCTGATTAGTTAATTTGCTTAATAGCTTCTTGTAAGAGACTTTGTCAAGGTTTTAGGAAAGTACAAAAAAATTGTATCTACCAGTTCTCCCACATCTACTAGTTTGTTGACTCAAAGAATTCCAGCAGACTGGAGCAGCAATTTTTCCCATTATAAACATCAGAAGTTGAAACAAAATTAATGACTTACAATGTATGGAAGTAAACATCACTGCTACTGATTTTACTTGATCCTCCCTGTGCCATCTCATTCAGTACCAGTTAGGAACAAGTTTTCCTTAAATATTGTTTTAAGTTGTTTTCAACTTCTAGAGAAAGTGATGAGGTGACTTGATCTCAGCCCATATATACGACAGAGAAAGTATCTGGTATGAGGGAACCTTTCCATTTAGCAGACAACTGCCTAAATAAATCCAATGGCTGGAAGCTGCAATTAAATTCAAATTGGATATAACATGCAATTTTTAATTTCAGTGAGGTTGACTAAGCGTCAGAGCATCTACCTAAAGGAAGTGGTGAATTCCCCATCATTTGGAATATTTAAATCAAGACCAGATGTCTTCCTAAAAAGATAGCTTCTAATTCAGCCACAAGTTATTGGGTTTGATAGTGTTCACTCATATAGCAGGAAAGAATAATTCCCTCCACTGTGGGAATTACTGTGTAATTCTATGGCCTGTTATATGGGAATTCAGACTAGATCATCATAATTCTTCCTACGGATTGATGAACTTTAAAAAACAGGAAATTCATCAATTTTACATATATCTATTTTTTGCTCAACATACACATGACCTGTCGCTTTTCCAAACGAAAGAAACCATGAGATTCCCCACCTTGCTGTGTGGAAAAGTCAGTAGGTTCCCCTTACCCCAGGTGGATGATACAGAACAGGATAATCAGTGTGAAAACTGAGCTTCCCAGATGTGTAAGCCACATTATTAGCATCGAATTTGTCTTCCACTTGCCAAGTAGGACTTTACAATGAAAGGAAAGAAGAAAAAAAAAAGAGGAAACATGTTAAAGCCGTCTGCCATTTAAGCCAGCGAAGTACAATGAAACTATGAAATCTCAATACAAAAGAGCTATTAAAAATTTCTGAATATAGAATTATTGTTATACTGAGAAAGGGAACAATGAGTCACCAGTGCCCCTCACAGCACTGAACTGGCCATTTCAGCAACTGTGCAACAGAAGCAATCACTTCAAAAATGATGCTAGTCTGTGTAGAGTAGGCCAGACAAGTTGCCCCCAATGCTGTACCTCTGAGGCTATTGCCTTTACTTTTCTCATAAAAGCTCTGAGGGCTGTATTGTGCCAACATTCAGCGGAAGGACAGGCCAGAACCTCAGCTGGTGTAAATCAGCTTAGCACCTACTGGGGTTGCACAGGTGTAAGGGAAGACAGAATTTTTGGCATATGTTTTGTTCAATTTTGCCATTTCCATTCCCCAAGTTGGTCTGTGTTACAAAGAAGCACTGTAAGTTGCATTTCTTTTTCAATGAATTTTAAGCCTTTAAATGACAGGGAAAATGTCAAATACAGAGTACCCTTTACGACATGGCCTTTCCCATATTCCCTTCAAAGAAAAATCTCTGGATGAAAGACGTCAAGATATAATATTTTGCCTTTCCCTTCGTACTTTCTGAGAGCTAGTCCCATTATTTTACCTCTACATTTTTATTAAATTTCAAGATGGATGAACTAAAATCAGCATGAGTCTTGCTGACAACAGCAACAAATTATATATTGTAAGGTGGTTGAGTACAAAGACATGCAGACACCACATTGCAATGCAGTCAAAATATGTTTCAAATGACACACCATGCAGCAAAAGTCGAAGGCCAAAAACCACATGTTCTGGTTTGCACAAAGTTCATACAATTAAATACAGTTCATGGCAAACGTGTAATATAGATCCAGACACTTGTCTGGGAAGTGTAAGTCAACATATGCAGTCCATGTAATCACTGAAGAAGACATGATTTAAAAAGAAAAATATGAAAACCCATTTCCCCATGTGAATTACTGCAGACTAAATATACAAAACACAAGCCATTTGAAATATAGAGATAATGCTTATTTTTTATAAAATGCCCAGGTTAAACTCGAAAACACAGTTCAAAATGATTTATATATTGGATACAAAAACTTTTGCTTTGGGACAAGGATTTTTAAAGTATAGGAATGCCAAACAATGCTAAAGGCAGATTTATAAAATTGCTGGGAAGAAACCCCAGAATAATATTAACAAATGTGTTCAACTGTCATGGGGAAATTCATTTAATTATATGGTATAGTAAGTATTCATCACGTGTGACTTCAGTTCTAAAATATGAAGACCTCAACCACATTTGCATAGTTACTAATTTTAAGAAAAAAGAAAAGAAAAAAGTGTTATGTCATCCTTTGTCATTAGTGTTGAGGGTAGCTTTGTCATGGCAGGCTCCAGAGCAATTTAATGGCTCCAAAGCACTTTAATTTACTGTAATGCTCTTGCTTCTGAGAAAATATCTCTCTCTGGTGAATTAAAAATACATGATAGAATTACGGTGACATTTTACAAAAAGGCACGTTCATTCTGTTAAACCACGTAGTGCTATGGGAGTTAATCCACTGGAACATTTGTTTCATGTAAGGAGATTCTATCAAAGATCACGTTACTAATTTACAGCCAAATATCGATTAAATGCAAAAAGCTACATTAATGCAATGTCCAGCTTGAAAATGTAATGCACAGAAGTTAGGAAATTCAAACCTTAACATTGCTAAAACTAAAACTCAGTCACAGGGAGAGTTGCTGTCAGATGAGAGTGCTGGTGCAAGAGGTAAAGGAGGAAAAAGTGGGTAATCGCAGAGGACTCTGATCCCTCGACAGAGAACAAAACGGGCTGGGCATGGTCTATGGATCAGTAACAAAGGTCAGATACCAACTTCAGTTGCACAGCCTGCATGGCAGAAAATCAAGCACTGTGCAGGTACAACAATCATGTGTGTTACCTAGCAATACATACAACCCACCTGAGCTGAGAAGCTAGCCTGTTAGCTGTGACTGGGAATCATTGGCACTGAAATCTGAAACCACACTGAAACTCAGGCCGCAATAATTAAAAGGTTCTGGAACCCAAGCCCAGTTTAGCAAAAAATATACCATATTTTTGGATCAGAAATGGGAAAACTCAGCATGAAGCAGGGGTTCTCTGGCCATTGAAAAGCATAATCAAATACATCTTTAAAAATATTTGACTTAGAGGAAAACAACAGTGTGAGTTTCTGGCTTTATAAGAGGTACTAGAGAGACCATGGGCTTGTCTAAATGATGGCAAACCACAAAAAGGGGCATAATTTGTGAAGTGCTCTAATGTGTTGTGCTCTAATTCCCCATGTTGGCACACTCCGAAAAGTACCTACAGCGCATTGGTGTGGTCCCGTTTCAGCTACACCAGGAATCTCTTACGTATCTATTTGTCCAAGCTTTCTCAACTGACTGAAGCAGGAAACCCCCATTCTTAGCCAATCGTCTTCTGCCTTACAGCTGCAGTATCTGGGGAGTGCAGTTTGTCTGATCCACTCATCCAGAACATCAGTGACTGAATGGAAACCCTGTATAGTATAGCGACATACACAGAACTTGGAGGGAGCAGCACAGGTGGAAGAGAAAAAGAACAGTTTGGAAGATGCACCAGAAAGCCAGTCTGTGTGCCCGTGGCTGCCATGCAGACATAAAACATACAGTAACCCTAAATATTTTGGTAGGGATACCTTTAAAAATGAGTGATAATAAATAAAAATAAATGTACATGATTTCTGTGCTCCGAAAGGACATCTGTGCAAGATTAAAGACTTGTGCTTCTTTTTTCCATTTGTGAGAGCTTCATTTACCGTTGTTCTGTTATTGGGAGAATCTGCAAACTGGCTGGCATATTAATTTAGCAAGGCTGCCAATCTGAAATTTATAGTTTGGTTTACAGTGTTTGTTAGACCTTTGGATTTGAGTGCTATTAAAATAACAAGGAATTATTATGAATTATTATTGTATTATAGTTTTTTTTAAAAAACCCTCAACACTGCACATAAGCACTAATCAAACTTCTTTGTTAGGGTCTAAAGTCTTTTACTAAGGTTCAATAGGTACTAAAGTCTTTTACTAAGTCTTTACTGCAGGTTCAATAGGTTCTTACTAAAAAAATGTTTACTTGGTCTGCATATGGAAATGCCAACACCAGATGCTGAAATTTCCTAATAATTCGTGTCTCAAAGTGAAACGCATTAAAACTGGGGATGCTAAATGTAGCCAAAAAATCATCAGGGGAGAAATGAGTAAGTGTAATTGAATATTAAGTCTCCCTCTATTCTATGATCTTTTAAATGAATTCCAACTACAAATGACATCAAAACAATGAGACTTTTCCCTTATAAACACTTAGGGTGACCAGATGTCCCGACTTTATAGGGACAGTCACGATTTTTGGGTCTTTTTCTTATATAGGCTCCTATTACCCCCACACCGATTTTTCACATTTACTGTCTGGTCAACCTATAAAAACACTTTTGAAAATGTTGTTAGCTTTGACATAACAATGAATACAAAAATCTGAAAACAGGCAAAAATTGTTATAAAAATCTTGAACATAATAGCTACATAACTGTATTCATATGCATTAACCTGTTTCCTTAAATATTTACTATGCATTTACTTCATACAAACCCGTATTAAAACACTTAAAGCTATTTTTCAGATTTTACAAATGATGATGATAATTTCTTATGGGTGAATTTCGCCACTGTGCAGAGGGCCAGTGCAAGATCTATGCATATATTCATAGATTCCAAAGACAGCAGGGATCATTGTGATCATCTAGTCCAGGGGTTGGTAAGCTTTCAGAAGTGGTGTGCCGAGTCTTCATTTATTCACTCTAATTTAAGGTTTCATGTGCCAGTAATACATTTGAATGTTTTTAGAAGGTCTCTTTCTATAAGTCTATAATATATAACTAAACTATTGTTGTATGTAAAGTAAATCAGGTTTTTTAAATGTTTAAGAAGCTTCATTTAAAATTAAATTAAAATGCAGAGCCCCCCGGACCCGGGCAGTGTGAGTGCCACTGGAAATCAGCTCGCGTGCTGCCTTTAGCACGCGTGCCATAGGTTGCCTACTCCGATCTAGTCTGACCTTCTGTATAACACAGGCCATAAAACTTCTGCAAAATAACTCCTTATGAACTAGAGAAGTTCTTTTATAAAACCATCCAATCTTGATTTAAAAATTGCCAGTGATGGACAATCCACCAGAACCCTGGGTAAATTGTTCTAATGGTTAATTATGCCCATGGTTAAAAAATTTACACCTTATTTCCAGTCTGAATTTGTCTAGCTTCAACCTCCATATGCTGGATCATGTTATATCTTTTTCTTCTAGATTGTAGAGCTCATTAACAAATATTTGTTCCCCTACTAGGTACTTATAGACCAGTGGTGGGCAATCTGCGGCGTGTGGGCTGAACGCAGCCTGTCAGAGTAATCGCTCGCAGGCCGTGAGACAGTTTGTTTACATTGACCATCCGCAGGCATGGCTGCCCACAGCTCCCAGTGGCCATGGTTCGCCGTTCCCGGCCAATTGGAGCTGCGTGAAGTGGCAGCCAGCATGTCCCTGTGGCCCATGCCGCTTCCCACAGCTCCAATTGGCTGGGAATGGCGAACCGCGGCTACTGGGAGCTGTGGGCAGCCATGCCTGCAGACAGTCAATGTAAACAAACTGTCTTGCGGCCTGCCAGCGAATTACCCTGATGGGCCATATGTGGCCCATGGGCCGCAGGTTGCCCACCACTGTTATAGACTGTGATCAAGTTATCCCTTAACCTTCTCTTTGTTAAGCTAAATAGATTGAGCTTCTTTGGTCTATCACTACAAGGCATGTTTTCTAATCCTTTAATCATTCTGGTGGCTCTTCTCTGAACCCTGTTGTTTATCAACCTTT